CCTGTTTTCGGTGACTGTTGCCGCTCTGGATATCAGGTGTGTGGAGGAGCCTGATGACCTGGCCTTACTACAGAATCCCTGTCATACCCCCCTGCCTCTGCCACCCCATGACACTGACATAGACACCCACAGTGACACCCACAGTGACACTCACATGGACACTCACATGGACACCCACATGGACACTTACATGGACACCCACATGGACACCCACATGGACACCCACATGGACACTCACATGGACACCCACATGGACACTCACATGGACACCCACATGGACATTGCAGATGTACAGGAGGAGAGCAGCTATTACATGCGTCATTAACAATGCTTTTTTTCCCCTCCATGAAACTGTTTCTGTATGAATGGGCTTGAACTACAAAATGCAGCAATTGGGGTGGAATGGTACAAAAATCATGGTCCAGTACATCCCTCAGTTTTGAGGTAAAAGTTCGGTTAATTTTCGGTACAGTATGGGAACAGAATGCAAAACCATTTGCTTGTTGTTTATTTGTGTGTTTATTAAACCAACAATTTGCTTTAACATTATACAAATTGGAAAATAAAATAAATGTTAAGTGCTGCTTGGTAATATTAATATGTTAAATAAAATATTCTCAAATAAGCAACAAATGTATGAAATATTTAAAAAAATAAATTCCTTGCAAACAGTAAACTAAACTTTTTTTTTTAAATAAAGCGCAACACAACAGTTTCAGGATGAAGTTTTACTCAATCTTCATATTTTTGGCCAGAAAAAAACAACTTGTCCACATTGTCTGCAGTAAGTGCAGATCTGCTGCACTTACAACATCCCCAGCGACTGAAAATACCCTTTCGCTAGAGACAGAGGTGGCGGGTATGGGGGGGTATGAAGTGGGTTGAAGGACGGGGGGTTCACATGGTTCGGAGGGATGTAGTCAAGGTGGAGGGCAATTGTTGTCAAGGTGGGTGGACTAACAATAAAGCGCTGTGGGAAACACTGCCACTCCAATCACGGATGAGTTCCTCGTGAATATTAAAGAGCCGAGCTTTCCGTATAGCTGCACATGTAGTGGCTCAATGTAAAGACACACAGATTGCATGAACTCATTCGTGCACAGCCCTGCACTGAACTCAACGGTTCGGGATAAATACATGTACCGTTACACCCCCAGCAGCAATATTGTTCAAAATTTGCTTTCATTTGTAATGACACTGCCTAATGATTATTTCCGTTGTGTTCTCCCAAGTCCAGCCAGGCATCGAAAGTTATTAGGAAATAGCTTGTGGGAGTAGCCTACCTCAATTGTTCTTTTTGGTACTACCACCTAAAAATACCCAACCTTTTTTCTGGAACTAAATGCTAAATCAACAGTTTTTTGTTTGTTTTTTGCTACTACATTGTATTTAGGATGTTTTAATAGCACTGTTTCCCCAATTTTTACAGCAAACTAGGTAAATCTGTAACTTTGTGTTAAAAAAACAGGCAAAAACTGAGCTGTGCTGCCTCCAGTGGCCAATGCTGGCTGTTCAACCCTCTGATGCCACAATAATTTTGGTCACAATTGTACCCTTCATGACACAAACAGTTCCTGCTACATAAAAGTGTTATGAAATAGAACTAAACTGGATGAAGTGGATAATTTGAGTTGATTTTACTTACTGTATGTCGATAATTTATAACATTGATTTTGGGGCATTATTGAATGATGACTTAAGCCTTTTCTTGTCAGAACCATGTGATTATTATGTTATTGGCCTCTACTGTGTTGTATATATGCTGAATGACAAGACCTGCCGTGTATATATAGATATGTATATAGAACACCAGTTTTACTCCACAGCCTGGTGACTCATTATGTATTCAGATACCCTTGAAACAGCCATATTCTGAGCACTCAAAAAGCAGGACAATACATAATTACTGAATCATGGATGAATCAATCAGAATACATAGCTCATAAAAGTTGATATTACATAAAGTTTATCCTTGGTCACAGTCGTATCCTTCATGACACCAACAGTTTTCGATATATAAAAGTGCTATAAAATAAAACTGAATGAAGTGGATTATTTCAGTTAATGTTATTAGACCCTTACATATGTCAATAATTTATAACAATATTGATTTTGGTGCATTATTGTGTTTTGCACAAGCAGCAGATTCATTCTTATCCCATTGGTATTTACCATGGCTTAGTGCAACCTGCCACTCAACATGTTAAAAACATGTGAATTTAAACAAATCATTTTGTGAATTGATTTTAGAATGAATGAGTTCCACTTTGAACAGGCCATGACACGGTGTTGGAGGGTTACAGGGTTACAGGGAGATCATCACAGGGCCTATCATGATTTAGATGTTGTGGGGAATAATGTCATTTTGTGACTTTTCTAACATATTTGTTTGTTGTTCATATTCCAAATCAAAATTGTTTTTGGTTTGGAATATATATTTTGAAATCAAGATTCAGTTGTCTGCAGTACAAAATTTTTACTTGTAATGGGATTCACATTTGAGAAAAGACTGAACAGGAATTGCTAAATGAATACAATATATACCGTAAAATAAATACTTTTCATATTCTTTTCTAAACACTAATTTTAAGTTCATTAGATGTTTTATTAAATACAGACAGTTTGTCTTTTACCTACGCAATATGATAGAATATACTGCGTTCTGGCTAAAAGGAGTGGCCTCAGGACGGCCCTGTCTGTGAGAGCCATTTCACACTGATGTTATGGTTCAACATGACCAACAGTTTGATATTTCAAGTTTTTGTCCTGATCACTGTCACAGAGCCTCTCTGCTGCTGAGATCCATGTGCACAGTAACACTTGTGGGTTTGCATATATGTCCTGCCCAGAATCCCACCTCTACCAATGGTCTTAAGCCACAAAAACATTTTTACAAAAAGAATATAAAGATAAAAGGTCTTGGAGGACTGGCTGAATGTAAACTGAGAGGACAGGAGCAGAGACAGGCTGGTTTTGACTAAGTCCACACAGACAAAGCCTCCTGCAGAAGTTTAACTGTGGACCATTTTGATATTCTGATAGTCTACTTCACACAAAAATATTGGATTTTGAGATTATAATTGGATATCATGTATAAAAAATATAATAGAGTGTGCAAAATGTACAAATGGTCCCCAAGGATTAATCACACTTTCACATTATTGAAGACAGTAGGAGGAAAACATAAGAGTTTGCTTCTTATCAGCTTACCAAGAGACAGGCTTGTTTTTTGTTTACTGTTGAAGGCTGTACCAAGTGGTGAAGTTTCTTGCATATTTGCATATTAAACATTGAATTTATATATTTGTTTGATTATTATACATTGTGTTAATGTTTAACCACTGAAATCTTATGTATGTTTAAAGGTACCACTATGTGAAACATGTATGCTTTTAACGTAATCTTTTGCAGATATAGGTTGTGTCCTTTTAAGGAAATTCATTGTAAAGCAGCAGCAGTGGAGATGGTTCAGCCTGGTGCGAATCCAAACAAACTGGCTGTGATTTACATTTGGCTGCCGTCATCCCCCCACCCTGGAAGGAATGCAGAGAAACTCCAAGGAAGATTCAAGGTGTTATCTGTTCAACATATTATTTGCATATTCATATGGATGTCTATAAAATCTGGGTTGAGGTATTCAGAGGAGTTTAGATTTGCCTGATTTAAGACCTGAGTAGCCGTAGGCAGTCAGAGGTAGTGATCTGACCCAGAGCTCTGTATTATAATTCTATTGAATAGTGAATAAATAATTTTTGCTTTTAATCGATCGATTCCAGTTGTTATTTTTGAGAGAACACGCCTAACACTGTAAAACTGGTCTTCCACAGACTTCTGTGTGTGCTATATAATTCATTATTAATTATTTTAATAGGAAATGTTTGTTTTTTCAAATGTTTCTATTGTTCACCAATTGAAATTAAGCATTTGTGTCTGAGTGCTGTGTTTGGTGCTCCAGAAAAAAAAAAAAATCTCTTCCTCACCCTTCACAGTGGTTGGTCTCTCGGGTCCTCTACCACAGGTCTGGGAGCTTGAGAGTTCTGCGCAGTATCTTCGCTGTTCTTAGTACTGCACTTTTCTGGACTGAGATGTTGATGTTTTTCCTGGTATTTGCTGTAGTTTGGGGGTTATGGCCCCAAGTGCTCTGATCACCACGGGCACCACTGATGCCTTCACTTTCCAGGCCTTCTCCAGCTCTTTCTTCCATCGCTTGGTATTGCAATGTCTACCACCACGGCTTTGTTCTCTTACTTATCCCCAACACTGTACATCACCATTGTGTCAGTCTGTATCTGGAAGTCAAGTTCGGACCTTGGCTTGATCAATCTCCACAACCTTTAGAGGTGTTTCCTAACTTGACCTTGGGGTCTCCAGCCCGTACTCTGCACATAATGACCAGATGAAATGGTCAATACACATTAATACATTTTACATTTTAAATGATTCTTGTCATTAGGGGATGCACAGTAAATAAATATTTGCTCTAAGCTACATTGAAAGTAGCCTGATTCCTTTAATGGACATTATACTCAAATGTATCATTTTGCTGCTATAAGAACATTAATATGTTAATTTATAGCTTTTATAGCTGTGATTATTCAGGTCACAGGCATTTTAAAATCCTCTCATCTGAATGTTCTGGAATGGAGGCGACTGGAGCCAAAATGATGCAGACATAGTGTATTTTCAGAGATTAACTGGTTAATAATTTCTAAGGTAGACATATTAGTTCATTTGTTTCTCTGTTAAGAAGGGTTCTATTGAAATTGTATTTGAGCTTCACAACAAAATATAATTTATGATGAAATCAAAATTAGTAACTTATCTGTGGATGAAGTGGCAAACTCTATTGGTCTTAACTTTCTGTAAGGATTTGTCCAGTAAAAGCTAAAAATCTGATATATATATTTTTTTCTTTGTCAAAAATACTTAGTGTCTATCACAGTCTCTTGTCCAATAAACAAATGATACAGTTACAAATGTTATAACTGTAGTTGTGAAAGTGTTTAAACTGGGCTCTGACATCACACACATGAGCCTGAGTGGTTTTCATTTGCCAAATTTCCCTTGATTTTGAGATATTCTAAAATTAATCCCAGTTTTCCTATTGAAATCACATTATGTTCCACTTCAGTTTTGCCTCCAGTAACCTCCATTCAAGAATTTAGAATGTTTTTGTTTACATATTTCATACAATAGTAAGAGCTAAATAAATATTTAAAAATATTGAATTTTTTTTTAGCAAAATTAAGACATTAAGTACAGTTCGTGACTGTTTTTTTTGTTTTTGTTTTTATCTGTTTATATCACCTCAAATTGACTTTATCGTTCAGTTTGATTTCATAAACCAGGTCACAGAGTGAAATCCAAAATGTTCTTTCATTTCTGTAAAATTACATTTGGATTTCATTGTTGGAGTCAATAACAATGAATAATTTTGAATTCATGGTGTTTTTTCCACAATAATTGTAATAATAATCAAATTTGATGAGCAGGTCTATAATACACTCTTGTCTTATAAATGTAGCTTTTCTCTTTTAAATAGCTATGAAATTCAACAATAAAAATCCCTCTGAAACACTTTGCCTTAAGGACACCAGACATTCTATAGCAGGGGTCTCAGACTCGCGGCCCGGGGGCCAACTGCGGCCCGCGGAAGGATTTTTTGCGGCCCTCCACTTGATTCCAAAGAATAATGTCAGTGCGGCCCGAGGTAGACGTACGCACAATCCCACCCCCCTACCGCGGGCCGCACTGACAGATGAAGCTGCAGTCGGTGCCCATGCAGATTCACAACAGATTATTAACGCAGTTTACATCCCAAAACTCAATTTACAGCAGTTGTGAAGCAACAAGTCTAAGTGGAGCTGTTAATACAAGTACACGTGCACATACGGCGTCACCGAAGAACCAAAACAAACCACACATGGTGGTACACGTGTGTGCACTTCACTTTACGCTCCCACAACCACAGTATCAGAGCGCAGAGGAGGCGCTGACAGAATCCCCCTGTTCATAAGTATGGGACCTTTATTGGAGGGGCTAATAAGAAATAAAAAGACTTTGACTCTCTGTTTACCTGCTCAACACTCGGTGCGTAACTTGCTGGCAACTCGATGACCAAGCTCCACATATGTGTCACCGAAATCCACGCGCACTCAGTGGCAAACACAGCTGTCCCATCAATATACAAGCACCACAAAACTGCAGTGATCTATTCCAGAGGCTTGGTGACATGTTAGCAAAAAGTACGAGGCAAAAACAAGCGTCTTCCATCCATGTCTGACATACGAGAAGCGGATACACTCCAGTGTGGCGCTTTCACACCGGCAAACGAACCAAAACTGGTCCGATTAACGAGCCTCTGTATCCCGGTAGAACAGTGATACCTCCAGTAACTAATACTGATGTTCCCTGTTAATACCGCGGTCGTCCTCATCTCAAATTATCACCATGAACTCATAAAACAGCAACGTAGAACTTTGTACAAACTCACCGCATCAGTCCTGAGTTCGGTTAACAGCAGAAGCCAACAGCGCTCTCCGTAGCGTCTGTCGTCCTACAAGCGCGTTGGTCAGATTGTCCGGAGGCTCCATCCTCCATGTGCTGGTTCCAGACGGTGGCGAGCAAGACCAGTGCGCAATGACTGGGTCTGAGCGGGTACGTTCCGCCGTCTGCGCGCTGGTTCCGTGTTCCGTGCGGGGAAAGTGAGAATGCGCTGTGGACTACACCTACAGGTCTGTGCTGCTCCGCTCAAGAACCGCGGCTGGTTCCGAGGTGGTGCAAAGCATCCGGACAGAACGTGAATCCAGTTTAGTTGGTGTCCGCATTTGGTTCTTCCCGGGAAAAGCGCTTTTCACTCCCCGCTCCACGTCATCTGAGCCCGGACAGAACCGGAGCTGCTCCTGCTGGTTCGGGACTCCGGTTTGGATCTAGTCCGACTGTATTTCTCACACTAGGCTAAAAGCAGGGCATTTTTTAAAGGTGAATCAATTGAATGGGCGATTGCCTATTGCCATAAAATTATTTGGTTAATTAAAGCCTAAAATAACAAATGCTGGTTCCTACATGATCACGGGGAACACGGGGACCTCTGTGCAGGTCCTGAACAGAAGTACACACCCCCCCATTTTTGACTCACTCTGGAGCCACACGTTCGCACGTACTTGCTCTGATCTTCGTGTATTACATTCTCTGTATTGGCCATTGTTGGTAAAATATTTCGAAAATGAATCGCGGCTGCGTCTGGAAAACAATCTGTTATTGCGCATCTGTTATTGCGCTGGAGTCGTACAGCGCGTCATTACAGGCAGGAGACGCGTTTCTCCCATGATGCATCTAGAATAGTTCCTTTGGACCTGCTGTGTATGGTTTGGACCCGGGTTCGCGTTCACACCAGAAGAACACACGCACCAAATGACCAACTTTGGTGCGGATTCAAGCGAACCGAGACCACCTCTTTTTTTAGGTCTCGGTCCACTTGAGTTGGTCCGGGTCAGAGTCCGGGTCTTTCACACCAACGCAAACGACCTGAGCTAACCACTTCTGGTTCGAATGGATCGTTTGGTGCGCACCAAATACTGTCGGTGTGAAAGCACCTAATACAGGTCAAGGCTCACTGATGAGCATCTTCAATCTATCCTGAGGATCTCATACGCTTCCTCCTGCAAGCCAAATATCTCTCAGCTGTACAATATGAATCGTTGCCAGGTTTCAACCAGCAAGAAGTAGGCAAAAGAAGAAGAGTAGACGTATCAGTTTAAACTTACGTTCTGAATACATTTTCATGTTCTGAACTGTTATTAAAGATTAAGAAAGTGTGTTGCATGTTGTTCTTTCTCTCTCTTTTATTCCCGTGCAACCGCTATTTATCGAATACTCAATGCGGCCCAGCCTCACTCAGACTTTATCTAATGTGGCCCCCAGGTAATTTGAGTTTGAGACCCCTGTTCTATAGAATGCCTGGGCCAGATGTCTAAGATAGTCATCAGAATTAAAAAAAAAAAAAAAAAAAAAAAGTAATTTAATTAAATCAGATTTTTGTTATTCACAAATACATTTGATTCAGAAATCCCTTGATGAGCTTCTTGGAAGGGGTTTGAGGGATACTGGTAGCTCCCGAGTTACAGGCCGGAGACCAAAGTGAAGAAAAGAATATTTATTTTGCCTAAAACACCAGGCATCCTTTTTACACAATGTGTTATTTTCTGTGTAAAACTAAATAGAAATTCTATATACAGAGTCGAGTGACATCAGTGATACACAGAAGTATTACAAACTGCCTGTATATTCTGTATATTCTGTATTATCTGTATATTCTGTATAATCTGCATATTCTGTATAATCTGTATATTCTGTATATTCGGTATAATCTGTATATTCTGTATATTCTGTATAATATGTATATTCTGTTTACAGTGTTGGGAAGGTTACTTTTAAAATGTACACACACCAAAATGTAGTTAAATTACTTAAAGTTACTTAAAGTGAGTAACGTAATCTGAATACTTTGGATTACTTGATATTGTCATGCTTTTTAGTTTAGTTCTGGTTTTAGTCCTGGTTTAGTCCTAGTTTAGTTCTAATTTAGTCCTAGTTTAGTTCTGGTTTAGTCCTAGTTTAGTTTTGGTTTTAGTTCTGGTTTAGTCCTAGTTTATTCCCAGTTTAGTTCTGGTTTTAGTCCTGGTTTAGTTCTAATTTAGTCCTAGTTTATTTCTGGTTTAGTCCTAGTTTAGTTTTGGTTTCAGTCCTGGTTTAGTCCCAGTTTAGTTCTGATTTTAGTCCTGGTTTTAGTCCTAGTTTAGGTCTGGTTTAGTTCTAGTTTAGTCCTAGTTTAGTTCTGGTTTTAGTCCTGGTTTAGTTCTAGTTTAGACCTGGTTTAGTCCTGGTTTATCCCAAAATGTGAAAACTGAAAATTACTGCCCTGTAATCCATTTATTTCAAATTATTTTACAAAGTAACTGTAATCCAATTACCACTCACTGAAACAGTAACTATTACTGAATACAGTTACTCATAATTTGTACTCTGATTACGTAACTCCAGTACATGTAATCTGTTACTCCCCAACACTGTCTGTATATTCTGTATAATCTGTATATTCTGTATATTCTGTATAATCTGTATATCTGTATTCTGTATAATCTGTATATTCTGTATATTCTGTATAATTCTGTATATTCTGTATATTCTGTATATTCTGTATAATCTGTATATTTCTGTATAATCTGTATATTCTGTATATTCTGTATAATCTGTATATTCTGTATATTCTGTATAATCTGTATATTCTGTATATTCTGTATAATCTGTATATTCTGTATAATCTGTATATACTGTATATTCTGTATATTCTGTTTGTCTCATGGAAGAGCACGGTTAACACGAGATCACGTGCTTTCCCGTTAGCTGCTGCTTCAACACGCGCTGCCTTCACTAAACTCGGAACTTGTCATTGTCAGGCTGTGGACGTGTATGAATCCCACTTCAGGCTTTCAGTTCACACATGCTATTTTGTAAACATACCTCAAAAGCCACAAAGTATGTTCTTGTTCCTATAATGGGGACCAGATAGGCTGTGCTTTTTTTTCCCTCGGCAATTACATTTTTCCAGTGTGTGTGTGGGAGGGAGGTGCCTGAATGGAGTCCTTGAACGCGACACAGTGAGGCGTTGGGAGTGTGGGCCGTGTAGTGGTGGAGCGGTGCTCGGAGTCTTGGTGCGGTGGTGCTCGGAGTCTCGGTGCTGCAGCACTGGGGTCGAAACTGTTTCAGATCCACAACGTGTCCATCCGTCAGGTAAAGATGCAGCTCGGTGCTCGTAGTAGTGTGGTATCCGCTGGTATCGGTGTTAGCTCTCGGTTCGACTAGACATGTTTCCGCTGAGTGGGCGTTTTTTTTTTTATTTTATTTTTTTTATTATTATTATTATTATTAGTAATGACTCTAATCTAATGGACCAAATTCCTCCTTGTGGCTTACCTTGAATGTTACTTACAGAGCTAAAACGTAACAAAATGCTCTTGTACGTGTGTCTGATGTTTACAAGACTTGTACTCACGTAGAAGTACTATTATCAGAGGTGGGGACTTGTGAGTCGTGACTTGGACTCGAGTCACACTTGAGTCACAATTTTTAGGACTTGACTTGATAAAATGAACAAGAATTTGGGACTCGACTCGGATTAAAAGAGAGACTTAACCAGAAAGCTAGTTAAGATAGTTATGGTTACACATAGTTATAGTTTACACACTTGTCAGTGGATCCTCGGCAGCCCCGTCAGGTCTCCATGCTGCTCCCATACAGCGCATGGCTAGGCCGGCCTGCCTTCATCTGCTGTAGCTGTAATGTGCTAGTTTATGCCACAGCGCCTCTTTTGCCTCTGTGTTAGCCCTGCCCACGAGAAAACTTTTAAGGGGTCTATAACATGGTTAAAAGCTCTGAAAAGACAATTTTGCATCTGATTTCTGGTCAGATTGTCTGACCAGAAAGAGAAGGTTTATTTGAAAATACAACAGGTGAGCTGATTTGTGCTGTTTAACAAGTCTCTCACACATAAAATTAATCATACAATTACCATAGTATTTGCCATCAATTTTTCAGTTAGTCACTTATGTTTTTGTTGAAAATCAAACACCTAAACAGGACCATGAACGTTCATATTGATCAGCGGCTCCTGAACATTAGTTGTTTAAATCCATTTTGTATCTTTTTTTTTTTTTTTTTTTTACAGATTTTGCTAATGTTTGCATTATGTCACCATGGTAACTAGGGCTGGGTATCATTAAGAAGAATACAATATATACCTCAATACATGGGCCACGATACAGTGCACTTTCAATTCGATACGCTATATTTCAAATCGATTCAATACAGTTCAATAAAAAATAAAGACTAAATCATGGCTGTGATTCTAAAAGTCTTTGTTAAACCACTTCTTGTGCATGAAACACACACATTTTAATCAAACTTCAAATGTCAAATGTTTTGCACAAACAAGTTTTCTTCCTCTAAACAAGCAACAAAACTGTAGCACTGTAACATAATTTAACAAAATATACCAAAAAATACTTTTGATTATATTATCGATACTGCAGCCGATACATGATATCGATACTGTATCATGATATTAAACTATACGATATATCAATATTTCAGTATTTTTGCACACCCCTAATGGTAACTGCTGAACATTCCACCTCACAGATACATGTAGAACACCCCAGGGTGATGTTTCTGCAAAGTATCAAGTAGTCTTGTTTATGTTTTACTTTCAAAGCAGGTTGTGTGTTCTTTTCTGGAACAGTGTGTGGACCTGAGCTGAGGATGGTGTTTTCACAGACATGTTTCTCCTAATGCTTCTCTGCTGGCTCCCACAGGCCGTCTCACGTAAGTCACAAGAGGGTTCGACCTGTTAACAGAGAAACCACAAAATACCATTATATTGTGTGATCATGGACTCCATAATGTATTCACTAGGGGTGTAAGAAAAAATCGATTCAGTGATGTTGTGAACTTCATTGCACAATTCTTGAATCGATCCAAAATGCATCCAAATAGATTTTTTAAAATAATATTTTTCACAAAAATGTATTAGTTACATTCACTGTTCTCATTATTAAAACATTTTAATAAATTCTCTTTCATACAAGTTGTTCTTGTGAAGGTGTAGTTGACTGTGTTATTAGTAATTATTGAGATGCATTACATCATCTATTGTTTTAATATCGGGGTATATCGTGATATATCAAATAGTGCCACAGGGTGATGTCCTCCATGCCACAGTGTACTGATGCTGTAATTCATGCCAAAAGAGGCCCAACCAAGCATAGAAATGAACATATTAATTAAAAAAATTATATTTTAAACGGAAATGTCAGGCTTCTGAAAAATAATAATAATAATATTCAAAATTTCTAATATCTCTAACTTTCTTTCTCGAAACCTTCACTCTGTGTCATGAGTATATATATTATACAGTACTAGTATATGGGTTTGACTTTGACTTTTAAATTTTATTTTTTACTTTTCCATAATGTTCAAATTTTTTGAGATGTGCCTCTGTAATAAGAGCCTATAGAGACGCCTCTCAGAAATGCAAATTCTGTGTACTAGGTACACAGAATTTGCACATTTTTTGAGAGGTGTCTCTATATATTATTTATCTGAAATATGCTGCAATACTTCCTTTTTTTAGGCAATAGCATTGTGTAACTTTTATGCATTGTTGCTCTGCAGGTAAAAGTGTCCCTCCTGCTCCAGTGAGGGTGGTTATGAATTCATCCAACATGAGGCACACGCTGCAGTGGGACAGAGATGTGGGAACAGCAGCGGAGGTCACCTTCAGTGTATCCTTCCACACAGACAGGCCAGACAGGTATATATACAGTCAAGCCCAAAATTATTCATACTCCTTGCAAATTTTGACTTAGTTACTTTTATTCAACCAGCAAGATTTTTCTTGATTGGAAATGACACAGGTGTCTCCCAGAAGATAATAGGACGATGTACAAGAGGCATCATTGTGAAAAAAATATTTCTCAGCTTTTATTTACATTTGAACAACATTTACATGTCCCAAATTATTCATACCCTTGATAATTAATAGAAAAGCCTTTTTTTTGGCTATTACAGCAATCAAACGCTTCCTATAATTGCTGACCAGTTTTTGCATGTCTCCACTGGTATTTTTGCCCATTCATCTTTAGTGATGAGCTCCAGTGCTTTAGCTCCCTCTACAAATTCTCAGTTGGATTCAAGTCAGGACTCTGGCTGGGCCACTGCAAAACGCTAATGCTGTTGTCCAATAACCATTTCTTCACCACTTTTGCAATGTGCTTTGGGTCGTTGTAGTGTTGACATGTCCACTGGTGTCCAAATCCAAGTTCCTCTGCAGCTGCTTGATGTTGTTGTTGAGAATCTTGTTCTAATGCTCTTTGTTCATGGTGCTGTTTACTGTGTTTAGACTCCCTGGACCATTGGCTGAAAAACATCTCCAAAGCATTAGGTTCCCACCATCATGTTTGACAGTGGGGATGATGTTCTTAGGGTTGAAGGCTTCTCCTTTTTTACACCAAATCATCAATACATCATTGTGGCTGAACAATTCAATTTTTGTTTGGTCTGACCATAAAACAAAAGACCAAAAGTCTTCTTCGTTGTCCAGATGAGCATTTGCAAAGGCTAAACGGGCTTTTATGTGTCTTATCTGGAGAAGTGGCATCCTCCTTGGTCTGCATCTGTGGAACCCAGCAGTACATAGTGTCTGTTGGATTGTCTGTCTTGAGATGTTCCACCAGCAGAGCCCAGATTCACCTTGATGGCCTTGGTGGTGATCTGTGGATTCTTTTTCACCTTTCTCACTGTCCTCCTGCCCAGCACAGGTGTCACTTTTGGCTTCCGACCACGTCCTCTGAGATTTTCCACAGTGTGGAATGTCTTGTATTTTTTAATAATACTTTACACTGTAGCCACTGGAACTTGAAAACATTTAGATATGACCTTATAGCCCTTTCCTAACTTGTGAGCAGCCACAATACACAGCCGTAGATCCTCAGAGAGCTCCTTTGTCTTAGCCATGACTGTTCACAAACCAACTGCAAAGATCTGCTGTTTTTCACCTGTTCAGTTGTTTAAAACAGCTCTTCCCAATGAATCAGGGGAATTAGGAAGTTTTAGAACAGTGCTGTTTGGAATGGTATAGAACTTTGGATTTTTCCTTAGACTCTGAGAGTTTACAAAGGGTATGAATAATTTTGGACATGCCACTTTTCGTTCAAATGTAAATTAAAGCTCAGAAATATTTTTTTCCACAATGATGCCTCTTGTACATCATCTTTTTATCTCTAGGTAGACTGTCATTTCCAATCAAGAAAAAACTTGCTGGTTGAATAAAAGTAACTTTAAGTAAAAATTTGTCAGGGGTATGAATAATTTTGGGCTTGACTGTATATGTGTGTGTGTGTGTGTATATATATATGTGTATATATATATATATGTATGTGTGTATGTGTGTGTATATGTATATATATGTATGTGTGTATGTGTGTGTATATGTATGTATATATATATATATATATATATATATGTATATATATATATATATATATATATATATATATATATACACACACACACACATATGTATATATTTTATTTTATATATATATATATATATATATATATATATATATATATATAAAATGTCTAAATTTATTTATTTATTTTTTTAAGAGGAGATCCATGTTGCAGAGTGGTGCGTGGATGTGAACAAGTGGTGGAGCCTCTGATTTGTGACTTGAGTAAAGCCTTCTCTGAACCAGATGAGACCTACAACATAAGGGTCACAGCCCACCTCGGGTCTGACCGGTCTTTTACGCCCTTGTTCAACTTCTCTCCCAGCAGAGACAGTAAGCACACTCACCAGAGAGGGGACACAGTTTGTATTCAATGATCAAATTATTAGATTTTTCTAAAAACACTTTATATATGTTCATGTGATAAATCTGCCCATAATCGAGTAGGATGGTGGTTTCAAATCTCACAATAGCATTTTTATTCTAGGATCTGTCTCTAGGACAAAAAGTATGGAAACCCAGCGTGTGTGTTCTTGCCTGGGTGTATTAAATGTGATTGTATGATATGAGTATTCAAAGCAAGATCTAACCTTAAGGGAGCCCTGAGCAAAATCTGACATGTGGGCCTTTGCCACTGCCCTGCCACTTGAGTTTATTTCACATGCCACAAATGATGCACAACTGTCGATTTCTGCCTAAGTGTATCTATTTACTGAAATTTTGAATATAACAGACATTTTTCCTGTTTGCGAGTGCATTTTAATTTATTTCTGTTGCCTAAAGTGTGATAACATTTATGGATTCTGTAATGTAAAATGTTATACACCCCTAAACATGCTCTAGGATGGTTTACAAATTAATACTTCAGCATAACACTCCTACTCATTATAAATATTATAGGCTCACATAATGCGATTAGGGCCTATAGACTGCCACTTACACTTTAATTTTACTTCTAGCCTCAAAATCTCAAACCTCATTAATTATACATAAAAATGCAAGGTCATTTGTTTCTCATTCTGGGGTCATTCACTCCCCTAGTCATGGTAAAGCTTCTCTTATTAACAATTGTAAGTCACCTGACATCTGGAGCACTCTGAATTGAGTTCTACACATTATCAACCTGGAATGACTCTTCCTGAAAGCGCTTGGACAAAGTGGAGCGTTCTGACAAATTGGTCAAAGTGTCACAACAGCAGAACAAGCTGAAAAATCAAACTTTTGTTACAATTAGTCGAGAGAAAAACACAGGCATTTTCCCTGTCCACAGATGCACAAAGCACATACCTTCTACATGTTTTTCACTAACAAAATAGTCCATATTGATGCTGAAATAGGCTGAAATACATCTGTCAGTGTCTCCATGTTTGTTATAGTTCATTTAGGCGCTTGGCCTTTGCCTTCCGCACAAACTTCAATGCGGCTCTGTAGTTGGTTTGAGCGAGGCCTGTTTTGTTATAACTATGTCTACATGTAGCTTGACAGACACACAGAATGATAAAACTGTTCAGACTCAGAAGGCGGGGCCCTATGCAACTTGCATAGTTTGCTTATAAGGTGATCTTGCTCTGAGTATTATTTTGAAGGCTGTTGGTGCAAATGTACTCTGTATTTGGTTTATTAGGCCCGAGCCTCGACAGGGCGTAGGGCCTATTGCTTCCGCTCAGCGGAGCGAATGGGAAGGGACGTGCGCATGTCCGAATGCGACAAGACGACATGCAACTATGTCCACGGTCGCCCCCGGCACGAACAGCAGTATCCCAGTAACCCACGCCCAAGGCCTGAGCCATATTTACTACTGCTAAAATGAATGGAAATCAATGGGAGGTCGGGGGCGACCCCGACGAGATGGTCCAGACGCGTCCGTCACTCACCAATGACCCCACAGTAACGTGGGGAAGGTCGAGAGCTTTCAAAAAACGTATAATATGTTGTTCTAAAGTTTTCGGATATATTGTTTTTGCTCGAATTATTATTTTATTAGGCCCGAGCCCCGACAGGGCGTAGGGCCTAAAATGAATGGAAGTCAATGGAAGGCCATGGGTGACCTCGACGAGATGGCGAATGACGAGCGCATCAGTGCCCGTCACTCACCAATGACCCCACGGTGACGTGGGGAAGGTCGAGAGCTTTCAAAAAATGTATAATATGTTGTTCTAAAGTTTTCGGATATATTGTTTTTGCTCGAATTATTATTATTTTATTTTATTTTTTATTTTATTTTTATTATTCTTCTGCTCTTTGAGCTCTAATTTCACCCCCTAAACACGTTCAAAAACTCACCAAACTTGGCACAATATTCAGAAGTGGCGAAAAATTCGATAAAATATACATTTCGTGCACGGGCATAAAAAAATGGCGACACAGCGCTACCTGGAAAAGTCAAAAATTTCGCGTCTATGGGAGATGTCCCAGGTCAACTTTGTCGTAGAGCCACGAAATTCGGTACACACATTTGTCATGTGAAGACAAACAAAAAATGTGGCCACGCCCCCTGACAAACCAGAGGGCGGCCATCTTGGATTGAAGTTTGAGTCCGCGTTTTCGCTGTCATTGCGTTTGAACGAACTCCTCTGAAGGCGCTTCACCCACAGGGCTGAAAATCACCGTACATCATCTAGAGAAGTGGAACATCTAAAGTTAGCTGATTTTTTTTGATAACTGTCACGGTTTACGTGCGGCAAAGCCGCAAATTTCGGCAAAAATTTCGCCTAATTTCAAAGTGACATTATTTGCTCCTGTTCGCACAGACTTAGTCCGATCGTGCTGAAATTTGAATCACTAATGTGTGATCTCAGCTTGAATATAATACACTATAAACCATATGAAAAGTGAACACTATAGCGCCCCCTACCATAGACATGAAACGTCAACATTGTCGGATTTGTACCAAATTTGGGAATTCAATTCTATTAATGACTACAAGCAAAAACATTTATTACATATATGGGCATTTTTCAAGGTTGGCCAGCAGGGGGCGCAAAGAACATTTAAAGGCATACTACTGTATGTCATTGTATGTTTGCAGGCACAGAGGTTGCGGACCCGGCGTTTAGGGTATGGTATGGCGGGGAGCAACATTTGTGGGCGTGGCGTTCGCGGGCTCGGTAGGCGAGGGCCGTTCGACGCCGCTTGTGGCTTTAATTCTATCTGTTATTGCTTGCCATCCTAAAGGCCATACAAAATTAATCATGAATTGCTGTTCATCCAAAGGGGCATGTGGGATGGGCATACACTTGTCTAAAGTATATCTCTTTGCACAGCTAAACTGCATCCTCCCATCCTGCGGTTGACGCGCTGTGAGTCTTCTCTCTGCATAGACATGGAGGCTCCAATCTCTGATCCCTACTTCATCTACGACTCCTTCATGTATGAGCTGAAGGTTCAGATTGATAGTCGAAGGCCCATGGTACAATGGCACTACCTGCTGTACACATTCTTTACTGCAGTGGAAATGGGAGTGTTCCTGCCTAAACATTCCCTGTGTTATTCAGTTGAAGCGCTTTAGATCTCTCCAGCGCCACGTGGAGCCTGGGATCACAGCTGGCTCCCAGTACTGCGTGTCCATCCGCTTCGCTGATCAAACAGTTCCCCGCACGTCTGATTTCAGTTCCCCAGAGTGTGTGTACATCCGCAGCCCATTTCCCTCAGGTAACACAAACAGTTTGAACAGTGTTGCACTGGTCCAAAGCTCCAAAAGCACTATCACAGCTTAATCAGTTCATGTGCTGCTTCTCCCCTGTCAGAGCACTCACTGGCTGCATTGACTGGTCTTCTGGTGCTCCTGCTGCTGGTGGTCCTTGCTCTCATTTACACAGGTTTCATCTGCCTCAGACAAAAAGCTCTGCCCTCAGTGCTGGTAAGTACCTCCGCCACTTAAATTATTTCACTAAAACATAGTTCATATTATTAATTATACTTGACCCTCACGCTCTGATTAACCCGCCCCAAGAGAGCGGGAAGGAAAAAAAATGTTTCTTTGGGTCAGTGTGACCCCAAGGAGAGTGTGAGGGTTAAGATTTGTCTCAAAGTCATGCCTACTTTTTTCTAGTTTTAGTGAATTATTATTTTACTTCCTGGTTGGACACAGGCATATATATATGCAACACCTTTATTTTGTTAAATGAATGTTTAAACTACTTGAAAAATACCTTCCTGATATGTAAATTTGTCGCTGCATTTTGGATGGAATTTTTGGTGTTGGTGGTGTTGAGAAGTATTGTGTTTTAAAACTTAAAAAAAATAACTAAAAATACTTCCTGTATTTTTGTACTTTCTCAATTTTTTGTCCCACAAATGCCCCTTAACTGATGTAAAGCTATGATAAATATTTACCACAGGTACTATTCCACCAAACCAAGTACAAAATATAGGTGTAAGCGGCAATGATAGGCCCTCACATGCACCTATGCTGCGGTGCAGTCCCCACAGCTACGCTGCACCCAATGCCTACAAAACACAACTGGTATGTTTTTGAGGAGGTAATGGCATTATAACATGGCTTAAAGCTCACAAGATTCAATTTTGCATAATAGAGAACCTTTATTCTCCCTTCATATGAATGAAGGGAGAATGACAAATTGTTTTGCATTGCTTAATAAATGACTGTGTGATTGTGAGTGGTTTTGGTTTAGTGTTATAAGAAAATCAGTTGTCTGTTTTCGTGTTTTTTCCGTTTTATTGCACTTAAGGCTCAGAGACGCTGCGTGTGGTTTTCAGCTTTCTAATGCATTTGACACTTTCTTAGTAATTCACAGGAAGGCACTCAGACGGAAATGTACAAACTGAAGAAAGTTCCAAAACACTCAAGAAAAACAACACAGATTTCCCACAAACCTCTTTTCAAACGTTTATAGTTTATATTGTTTTTGTCACTGCTTCTCAAACTGAAAGTCCCAAGAAACCGTTGTAGTACTTTCCCTGCACTGTGAGCCCATTGTAAATTAAGGAGTTTAAACCATATGCAAGAGTAAAACCGAATTTAAGTGGAAATTAATCACATGTTCACTGTGTTTTTGACAGCAGTTTCCATTAAAATGTCAAATTTAAAGATTATGATATAATTTATTTGGAAGGTTATTATTACCATGCTTACTACTTTTTCTGCATACTCTAATGCATGGCCCTTGGACCTCTACTCAATGCAAATTCACACTTGTTGTCTGTGTGACCTTTTTGGCTCAGCCCATTTCAGTATCTCCTCTACTTTTTGGAGTTGGCACTATCTGATTGCAGACTTTGGATGTACACAGCCACTAATAGGGCCTTATCAATATTTGCGGTGTTTCCAAAACTTATGTGCTGTTGGTGCCACTATTACACATCTGTTTCAGACAGCAGTAAAAAACAAAAACTTTAATCAGTTAATCCATATGAGGTATAACCCAAAATACAAAAGAAAAATATGTTTGATTTTAATAATTTAATTTTGATAATTTATTAAATTAACAAACTATAAACAGGCACAGTGCCCATTTTCCATATACTAAAAAGTGTCACTCTCATATATGTTATTAGGGTTTTTTTCAGACCAAGCGTTTGTTTTCATACCTGACAGTTTCGACTGCTCACTAGCGGTCTTCCTCAGAGTCACGTGTTGTTGCTGTGACGTATCTGGCCAGCTGATTTATACAGGTTTTGGCGCCATCTTCTACAGGTATGAAAACAAACTCTTGGTCTGAAAAAAATAACCTAATAACATAAATTATCAGAAGACCAAATTAACCTCATTGGACTATTACTCTCATAGTTATGATTTGCACTTTGTAAAGGAGGACAGGGCATATGCTTTCCTGGGGCGAGATGTAGGTGAGTGGGTGGGGCATATACTTACCTGAGGTCAAGTGTAGGCATGTGGGCAGGGCTTACTGATACCTGTGGCGGCATGTGGGGATCAGGCATATATACTTACCTCGATATGGGGTCTGATATGGGGACTGAGGTAAGCAGGACATGCTTACCTCAGTCGAATACCAAAACATTTATATTAAAATAAATTAAATGTAAAATGTTTTAAATAAGGATCTTCCGGTAAACTTGACTAAATGTTAATAATTATTTTTCACTTGTTTCATTTCTATGTTGTGCAGACCTCAGTGCGTCACTTGGAGGAAAGCCTGATCGTATTCTTTCTTCCCCCTGTCTCCCCTCTGCGCATCAGTAAACAACCAGCACCCTCCTATGGACAGACAGAGTGCTACAGCTCGGACTCGGACAGCAGTGAAGATGAGAGCCACTCTGGAGATACACGGGTAGATGCCAGTACAGAACCGTACACAAGTAAAGGCTCCCTCTGCTCTGCACTGTCTGCACGAATCTCCACTGTCCCTCATAGCAAGGAGGAGAGGATGGAGAGATCAGAGGAGGGAAGGACGAATGAAGCAGAGGAGGTGAACCTTCTCACTTTAACATTCAACAGAGACATTGACGTGGAGCTTGACAGCGTAGTGGTTCTGTCTGAAATGGAATTGCCTGTGTGGGATGTAGCAGAGGAGCAGCATGAGCCAGAGGAGGGGTTTGGGGAAGAGTGCTGTGAATCTGGTTACATGACTCGATGATTCTAATTTCTATTTATCAGATTCTGTTTGTTACAGTCAGAAATGATCGACTCTCTTTTTCAAAAGACACGACAAAAACAAAACATTTCACATACTATGTGCTGCTCACATCTGACCCATTTGAACTCCCACTTTCAACAAACATCTGGATATTTTCAGCATGGACTTAGACAGACTTTATTGATCCACAAGGGAAATCATTTGGACACAGTAGCCCACATATAACAATAATATAATAACAAAGAGCAAAACTCTAAATGGTAAAATAAATTCTAACTAATCAGCAAGAAAAGGTAGCAAGAGACAGATGCCAAATAAGACATAATTATATAAATGTAAATGTCCAAGTAAAAATAAACTAGAAAGATAAGTAATGAAATATAAAAATCACTGCTTTATACAAAAGGTCATAGGAAGACAGTGCAACATTGATATGATGATTGTCAGGACATAGGGTTATCTTGGAATCCAAAATGCATACTTCTTCAATACCTTACAAATGCCTACTTACAGGAAAAAATCTAGGAAAAAATATCACAAGGGACTGAAAAACATGGTGGATTTATGCTGAATTAATGAGCAAAGCACTGAACTCTGTTAATGTGAGGTGATTGAAATGTCACTTGAGCTCCTTCGTTTCACGTGAGCTACTGAAATAAACTAATCTGATGATCATGTTTGTTCTGAGACGTGCCAGGGCATGGGACCACGCTGATATCAGTCTGTACATAAAATAAAGAAATGTGTTGGGCTCACAGAGCTGCTGGTCACATTTCAAAATGCCTGCACAATTTCAGTTAGGCCTGGTCACGTTAGGCCCTTATGGGGTCAATATTTATCATGGTGACTTTTTCTCATAACTTTTTTTTATTTTTCTATTCTACCGTTTTTTTGTTTTGTTTTGTTCTGTTTTGTTTTTTTAGAGCTCTTTGAGGAATATTGTGTCAGGGGTATAAATTTCAGAATTATCATCTATAAATGTATATTGCATTTCAAAATGCGTCATTGTGACAGGCCTAATTTCAACACAGAAATATAAACATACAATGACATTGCAAAACACCAATAAAGTGTTCATCATGTTAATCCTGTCTAATCTTGTTAACCCTGTCCAGTCTGACGTGGATTACTACATTACAATGTAATGTGAAGGTATTTGTTATTTCTCCTACATTAAAATAACTGACAAAAAAGACGATGCATATTATATATATTTTTTGGCCAAAGCCACGTTTTAGCCAATAAATACGACTGAAATAAAACGGTAGTGTCGGGGCGACAGTAGCTCAGTTGGCAGAGGTTTGTCCACTGAAAAATGGGACCCTAGATTTATGCTCGCGCGCGCACGTGACGGGAGGCTCGTGCACGGGGAGTCTTGTGCACGAGGACGACATGCCGCTGCTCAGGCTACAGTGTTGCGTATTTTGTCTAAAACATGTTTAATAATGTCTGTCTCGATCTAGCAACCCTCGGCTCTGGCGCAGATGTGCGCCGTTCCTCCGCCGCGGTGAGAGCAGAGCGCAGAACAGCCCCCTCGGCAGTAGAGATTATGACATAATAAATACTACTCGACAGTGTTCGTTTTGCTTTCTGTTTAGTTTAATTTATTCATAAACAGCGTAACATCTTTACAATTGTCAATAAATATATATTACACTACACGTATACAGTTTTTATTGATCTGTTAACAGTGTCAGCAAAGAGCTGCAGATACTAAATATTTCAACATGTAACATATTTCTAGTTAGTTTATATTTGTCATAATTATTCATTCACTTGTGCTGTTAGAGTGCACTTGAATCCCTGACTGTATTTATATTTATCATTAAATATTTTCCATCTGTGGTATTTAAATTGACAAAGTGCTGCAGATGAATTAGATCTGTCTACATAAAAGCTATTATCAACTTTACTCTGCCTTCAATAATTATTTATTTATTGTTTACCTTTTAACCAGGTTAGAATACAGTATTAACAATGATTGATAAGATGGGTTATTATTATTAGTAGTACATTTACAATAGATGCACATGTTTATTATTTACATAGATAGGTAGGGTCAGTTACTTTGAGAGCAGTATAGGTGTATTTACAAGTACAAAATAACATATCTATTACACAGTATTTACAATAAGAGAGTGTTCCCTCACAATTACACGGGAGAGTTTCCTGGCTGCTTTAGCAGAGACTGCTCAGCCAACCACAGCTCTAAAGTTTTGCCCCAGAGGTCCAATGACTAAAAGTGGCACTGCCATAACAACTGTGGCCAAAATCTTAGTTTTGGACCGTCCACACTTTGAGCAAGAGTTAAGTACCACTCCACGGACATATTTCCTATTGTGAGCGCTGCTGGCTTCCTCTTCAGCCCTGCCAGAGTGGGAGCACAAGCACAGGAACATTTGCAGCTACTACAGAGAAGGGTGCTGCTATGGAGGGTCTACTTTCAGAAGGGCCTGTGCAAGGTCTCACTGGCTGCATCTGAAAGTGGGCAAAGATACCTTCTTTACCCTTCCTTCTCCTTATTGCTGACCTCTCAGAGCTACGTCATGAGGTCGACTATAAGGACCGAGGAGGAGGAAGAGCAGTGAGGAGAAGGAGCTTTAGGTGGATTGGGTGTTCTGTCGAAATGGGCTGCTCCGTCAAAATGACCTCCCAGCAGCCTAAATCAACAGATGTCTATCGATTCCCCCCCCCCATGAAATGACAGTGGCCACTGAAGCCATGAAACACACATTTCTGACCAGAAAGCTGCAAATAGACAATAGGAACAATAGACAATGGTATTTAAATATACACACAGTTTTGGAACAGAAAAGTTGATTTAGTTTTTAATTCAACTTTAAATATGGCAAGTTTGTGCCACTGCTCTCTATAAATCTCTATATTATTTCTTTATATGAATCTATATTAAGGCCTCTTCCCTCCATCTGAAACTATGATATCACCACATTCTATGATGTAAACGCAAACTATTGAATGTTGAACTGAGGCAGCTGGAGGAAGAATGATCTGCTGCAGAGGAGATGAAGGAGGGACTTCAGCAGAAACAGAAACTCTCTGAATTTGAGTGTTTTCAGATAGTGTGGGACTTTTCACTGTAAACGAGGCCCTAGGACCATGCTTTGGACTCTCCTGCTGCTCATGGACCATGGTAAACCACACAACTCTTTACATTATTATCATATAACAGCTGTGTGCAAGTCTGGTCACTACAGATAATACTTCTTCAGGTGAATAAATATGTAAAAAGTAATTTCTCTTGACATCAGAACAATCCAATCTATAGCCTATATTTTAAAAGTGAGGTTGAATTCAATAATTTGCTTTGCTTTGCTGCAGACTTTTGGAGCTCCAAGGATTTATCATAATACTCTTGAATAATTAACATCAAAATAATTGACAATTTTAATAATAATTGCTATCTGGACTAAAGAGACTGTACAAGCAAAACAAACCAAAACATTTTATAAAAATGCAATAATGCAAAAAATATATTCTTTTACTGTCAGCTAATCAAAAAAATATTCATTGATTACTGAAACAATTGTTATTTGCTTCCCTAGTTTACTAGTGATACCACTATACAAACTAAATCTTCAAAAAGTTCAACAACGAACGTGTGTGACCGATTCTCACATAAAGGTACAGTGGAGATGTTCTTGTTTTGCTTCTGTACCTTATGTGACAGTGTGTGAAGCTGTGAAGTTTGAGGACCCATTTTTCTGACAAAAATGTAATAAGTGAGACAAGGTCTCTCTCTTCAGTCTAAAAAGATATCACCAAACTCTAGAATGTCATGAATGCAAGCTATTACAAGTATAAGTAAAACAGTAGTTAAAATGATGAAAAGAAAATGTGCAGCTGCATGTCAAAGGAATCACTTCCTTTGACATGCAGCTGCACATTTTCTGGTTTGTGTGGTTTGTGTGGTCTTTAACTTCTCTATTGATACTTTGCAGCTGATGCCGTCAACAGCCCCTGGGGGAGTAAAGCTAAATACCAGCACTACTCTGTTGCTAAAAGTAGTAATCTGAGCTTTATTTTAACACAGTCTGACCAGAAACAGCTGGTTTAGGTGGAACTACAGCAGGTTCCTCTTAACATTACACTCACAAATCAGCCAGCAGTTTTTGAGTTAGTCACTCTCCTTTTTGTCGAAAATCAAACACCTAAACAGGACCATGAACACTCAGACTGATCACAGGCTCCTGAAAGTGTTTAAATCCATTTTGTGTTTTTTTTTTTTTTTAAGAGTTTTCAGATTGCTGTACCTTAAAACTTTTTTTCCTGTGAATGTGTACATTGTGTCACCATGGTAACAGCTGAACATTTTGCTAACAGTGTGATATCACTGCAAAGTATCAGTTTAGTTGACCCAACATTATGGCTACGTTCAGACTGTAGGGCTTAATGCTCAATTCCGATTTTTTTGTGAAATCTGATGTTTTTGCGAGGTCGTTCACATTTCCAATTAAATGCGACTTGTCTGTGACTCCAGTGTGAACGGTAAACGGCCCGAAAGAGTCCCGCATGTGCACTGGAGGACACGATGACGTCAACCCCATGCGTCAACCGCAGCGAGCGTGCTCTGTGTTTACGGAAGTTGTCCAAACATGGGCTGTGTCCCAATTCAAAGGGCTGCAGCCTCCGAAGGCTGGGTCCTTGGTCGGCCGCGAAGGCTGCAGCCCTTGAACTGGCCTCCGCGGACTGCCAGGCCGTTGCAGAAATGGGACAGGTGTAGCCCTCAGAGCCGCTCCCCCGTCGCCCAGCAACCGAGGGACGCTGCTAGCTAACACGCTCCGCGTAGATTACGCACACGGATCAGTAAAAAGAATACGTACAGGTCATCAAACTGTCGGATTTTGTGACCAAATTATTTTAATAATTCGCATCCAAATCTTAAGGCCAAAAACGAAAATGTATGTTTAACTTTTGCAAAACAAAACGGCTATATTTAAGGGATACATCTTAAATAGACTAAATTATCTTAAAGTAAAAAAAAAACTGTGATGAGATATGATGATAGGGTCATCCCAGCCAACTCCCACTTTCCACAGGTCTTGAATGATAATCTTAGCCCGGGTGGTGAATGGGGTAAGATAACCGAGTGGGTCATACTGTGTTGCCATAACCCTGTAGACATTCCTCAGAGTTGGCTGTGGATACTCAACTGGACGGTGGCGGTAACCAAGGTGATCTGTGAGGCAGTTCCAGTGGAGGCCCAAGGCTGGCTCTTCTGGGTCTTGTCTGTGTTGAGAGAGCCACAGTTCAGTGCTGGCTGCTTTAGCTTCCACTGGGAAATGTTCCACAACTGAGGGAATGTTGCTGGCCCACTGCCTTATGTCGAAGCCACCAGTTGAAAGCAGCATGCGCATGCCGTCGATGATGGTCTTAGCTTTATCAGCACTGGCAAGGCTGGTCAAACAGTTGTCAAGATAGAAGGCCGTCTCCATCAGATGTAGGATGTCCTCATGATCTTTACTGTTGTCCTTCACATGCCTTTGGAGGGCATACGTGGCACAGCAGGGACTGCACGTTGTGCCGAACGGTAGAACTTGCCACTCGTACACTGTAGGCTCTTCCTCCCTCTGCATGTCTCTCCATAGGAAACGGAGAAGGGGCTTGTCTTCTGGTAGCAGGCGTACCTGGTGAAACATCCCTTTAATGTCACCGCTTATAGCCACACTGTGTTCTCTGAAGCGGAGAAGTACACCAAGTAAGGAAGGGCTTAAGGTCGGACCGGGTAGGAGCTGGCTGTTCAGGCTCTGTCCGTTGTGCTGGTCGGAACAGTTGTAGACATTCCTAGCCTTGCCATTGTGATGGACAACATGGTGGGGCAGATACCAGGACTCAGTAGAGCTGTCTACTGTGTCAGCAGGCAGGGGGATGGCATAGCCGGACTGTTCTAGTTTCTGTATTTCCTGACACTAAGTATCTGCCAGGGCAGGATCTTTAGCCAAGCGCCGCTCTGTGCTCTGCAGCTGTGGGAGCAGAGTGTTCTTCGGTACCCAAAGACTGGGGCTTGCTTTGCGTCTGAGCAGTGGTGTGGCATATCTTATCACTCAATCTACTTCCACTTTAACAGTTCTTTGCTCTAACAGTTCTAGGGCCTGCTGGTCTTCTTTAGAGCGGGTGGCAGTATTGGTGTTGGCAAAGGGCAGAATGTCTACTTGCCACAGACGTTCAACATGTCGCTGCAGTTCAGAGGTGGGAGACATAGTGAAGTAGCAGTGTGTGATGTCAGCAGGCTGAGGGCTCAGGTTGGCTGGGCCCTGGGGCACCCACCCTAGAGCAGTGTACACGGCTAAGAGACCCCCAGGAGGACCTGCTCGAACTGGTTGCTTGGGAACGAGAAGATGTGGGAGATCAGAACCAATGAGGAGTATGGGTTGAACCTTGTCAACTAATGGCAGTGGAAGTTTCTGCAGGTGGGAATACTTGCGTTGGAGTGACTTGACAGGGTAAGTGTGTTCAGACAGGCTCAGCTCATCAGCAGTGAAGGCATGATGGATGGTGTACCTTGACTTGGGAGAATGAGCTGGGGAGATGTCAAAGGAGACAGCAGCTCCCTGAAGGTGGATCACCTCCTGGCGAACGGTGCATAGAGGAAGGCTCTCTGGCTCTGTGGTTAAGTAGAGGTGTCTGACTGCAGAGGGAAGGATGAGGGTTCTCTCAGATCCATTGTCAAGGATGGCAAAACCTTCAAGGGAATGCTCTGCGTTGTAGAGGCGTACCTTCACCAGCTTGACCATGACTCTTTGTGGACGACTAGGGCGGTCAACATAGACGATATCTGGAGCTGTTCCTACCATGAGCACCTTCTTGGGTTCAGGTTGACTCACATCATGGAGAATGGTGAGGTGTAACTGCTTGCAGGTGTTACATAGCTTCTTCAGAGTGCATGTCTCAGGTGTGTGGTTCCTGCCACATCTCCAACAGCCTCGATCTTTAATCCAAGCAGCAACTTCTGCAGTGGAGAGTGACTTGAACTTGGGGCACAGGCTGAGGTAATGCTCTCTGATGTCACAGTATGGGCAGTAAGGCTTGACAGTAGGTCTGGCTTTGGGAGAATTACTGTGGGGTGGAGCTGGAGGAGTCACCCCGACTTGAACCTCTGTGCCGTAATACACGTTGAAGGGATGACTCTGAGCTTTCTTCTGGCTCTTCACCGGCTTTGGCGGATCCTGGAACATGAGAGCCGCTCGGGAGGAGATTCGCTTAGCATGTGACTTCAACTGAAGCCAGGTGGAAAAATCAGGCAGAGTGTAAGTTTTATCAGTGCCTGTTGCGAGGATGCTGTGGCTAATGCTGTACTCCATGAAACCATCTCTGTAGTTAGCAGGTAGCTTGCTGAGCAGCCTGTCGACATGAGATCCACATCTCAGCTCATAACCATTTTCTCCCTCTAGAGACCGAAGCATGCCCACTAAAGCCTGTACTGACAGGGCAAAGTTGTCAAAGGCTTCTGGGTCTCCAGCTCGGATGGGGTTCACAGCCTGTGGCATTGGCTGGGATGGAGGAGGAGGCACATGCTTAACTTGGTCGTGGCTGCAGCTCATCTGTGCTTGGTTGAATGGAACAGTATACGGCACTTGGGATGGTGGTGCAGCATGATGTATGAGGGCACCCACCGTGTGGCTATGACGTGGTAGTGGACCAGGGTTGGCAACTGGAACAACGGGAGGGATGGTGATGGCAGAGACTTGGTCTTATGAAGCAGCAGCTAGGATTGGTGAGGGACTAGTAGAGACAGGAGGCTTGACTGTATATATATTGACTGGAGGAGCTTGGGTGACGGGAGTAGAGTGGAGCATATCAGGGGGTCCCTGTGAGCGTGGTGGTAATGGCTGAGCTGTGGATGGGAGCCTCAAGTTGTACTCACTTACACTGAGGGGCCTGGAGTGGCGTGGACTCTTTGTCTCCTCTTCTTTCAGGAAGGAAGTGATAAGAGCAGCTTTCTCTACTTCCATCTCTTTCTCCTTCAGTCTGCGTTGCAGTATTTGCTGTGTGGTGATAGCCTCTTTGGTCTTATACGCAATCTCCGCTTTCTCTAGTCGATGTCTCTGCCGCTCTTGCTCTCTGAGAAGCTCTTCTTTCTCATGCAAGGCCTCTCGTGCTTGCTGGTCTAGTATAAGGCACTGCTCATCCACCAGTGTCTGCTCCATGACTTGCCTCTGTGCTTCTGCTAACTCCCTGCGCTTCATCCTCTCCTCCAACATGGTGTTCTGCAGCTGTGACAGCGTCTCGGTAAGAGATCTCTGGGATAGTGAACGAGCACTGGCTTGGGATCTGGCTGTACTGTGGTGAGAAGCTACTGAGCATCGGCGTGACTGTATTCTCACAGGCAGTTGTGGCGAAGGTGGTCTAAGCACAGTGAGCTCTGGGGCTGCTGCTCCATCCTCAGCTGTAGGTACTGGTGAAGCCTGGGTAGATGGATCTGTAACTGTGGGATGATATCCAACTGCAAAGTCATCCAGGTGTGAGAGTAGCCGTCTCTCCCGCTGGGGTCTAGGATGCACTGGTGGGTCTGTAGGCAGTTGTTGTGACTCCATGTTCTCTGCAAATCTCTATCCCATCCGGCTCGAAGAACCATGTTGATCTGATAGGAATTTGCGAGAGGGGCTCCGGTCAAAGAGTGGGCAGGGAGAGGGCTGGTACACCAATGATCTTTATTGCAGATTTGTAGTTACAGGTTCAGATTGGCAAGGCAAGGTTATGGGCACGTGGCTGGATTTGGATGAATGTGTATGTGTGTGTGTATGTGTATGTGTGTGTGGCTGAAACAAGAACAAAGGATACAGAAAACAATATTAGAATTATGATATATAAAACGTATACATAAATAACTTACATTAATAACAAATAATATATGGACTATCTATAACAAACAAACACAGGGAATACTGACATGGTCCAGCGGTCTTTGGCGCCCTCTATAGGATTAATAGAGCAACTGCACTGCTGCAGCCGCCGCGTGCTTATTACGGCTTAATTGGTGTCGGGTTACACTCGGCTATAATAGAGAAGATACGCCGGACACCCGACAGACCTTGCAAACCTTACGGAACGGCGAACTAGACAGATGTACGATACATATATAACACTAAAACACAGGAAACACTTGGCACAGCAATGATATAATAACATCACACAACTACTCACTTGATAAGCATGAACGCACACAGAAAACACCACACAGGGAAAAAACAACCAGTGCTGCGGTGAAACTCAAGGGAAAAAACAAACGGGAAGTGACATCATTAGTGACGTTAGTGAACGGCCAAAGCGCATCCATCTGACCTACACGTTATCAACAAGCCATAAACAAGTCACTATTCTGCGCTGAAGTAGGCGAAAATTGTTAATGAACTCCGCGTCACTGAAGTGAAGCACATCACCACTCACCACTCTTGGCTCCGTCTCCACATCCACACGTTCCTTTCAACGGACGTTGCTGCCACTGCCCCACAAAACACCACGGCCAAAAACCTCGTCCTTTTCCTTCTCAATCTCCTCCTTAAAACAAGTAAGTTGTTCATGTTCTGGCTCCGGTACGAGAGGAAGTTTAAAATCTCCAGGTGCTCAATGCTGCGTCCATATTTGGACAACTTCCGTAAACACAGAGCACGCTCACTGCGGTTGACGTCATCGTGTCTCCAGTGCACATGTGGGACACTTTCGGGCCGTTTTACGTTCACACAGCTGATTACATGCAAGTCACATTGAATTGGAAATGTGAACGACCTCGCAAAAACATCGGATTTCACAAAAAAATCGGAATTGAGCATTAAGCCCTGCAGTCTGAGTGGCCTGGGTCATTTGAAAAAATCGGATCTGTGCCGTTCAGACTGTCATTAAAAGATCAGATACAGGTCACATTGAAGCCAAAAAATCGGATTTGGGTCACTTCAGGCTGCAATCTGAACGCAGCCTATGACATACAAAAAAAGCCTAGCCTTGGTGGGGCTCCTCTGCCACTCCATGGAGATTTTACCTAGTATGTTTTCATTGACCTACTTAAAGATGCTCTAGGTAACTTATCTGTGTGGTAGAGTGGATAGACAGGAGGGTTCAACCTAATATAATACAAATGAACATGAACCCAACAACGCCACTGGGCCCAGAAACTAAAACTGATTTACTAAACTAAAATAAGGCTCACAGGTTCGTTAATTGACACACAGAGACAAGGGTCATTCCACACCATTTCATCAAATTTCCAGAAAATCTCATGCATCATGTTTTTTTTTTTAATTTAGAAAAAATTACCAAATAGCCCCTTACTATCATATACCAACCCTGTGAAGTTTTAGTGATTTTTGATCATTACTTTTCAAGTTACAGCTCATTTTATGAGTGGGGTATGTGTCAATTTACAGGCCCAAAATCATGTCATTTTTTCTCGGCTGTTTTCACAGGTCGATATCTCTGTAAGTATCACACATACAGGGCTAAAATTTTGTAGGCTTCTACTCCTGGACTCTGTTCAAATAACAACTATCGAAAGTTTGGTATCTCAACTCACTGTCATTTTATATGATCTTAAAAATGAAAAAAAAATTATAATAATTAATTTCCGTGGTCTACCATTTTTAGCCCCTTTTAAAACCTACTTGTAGGTGTAGGAGACCCTTAAATTTTTTTGAGAATCAAGATATGTACTAGGACTGTTAAAAAAAAAATCACCAAATGTTGAACATTTGAAATAGGTTATGTGTGAGGGTCCTGTTAAAAACAAGAAAATGCAACATGGTCCAATTTTCAAATGTAATTTATGGCATGTGGGTAGTGATGAAAACATTTGGAATAATTTTTTCTTGAAAGACCAGAAAAAGATACCAAACATATGTATTTTATGAAGCTCCTTAAATTTTTTATTGTATCTTGAACACTCACATTTGACACAATGACACAAGTATACAGTGACCATGTACTATGTTTTATTTCAGCAGCTAAAGCTCCCAAACATGAAGAATGAACAAGAATGAATCAACAGGATGTGTTACAAGATATCTAAAAACCCAGAACACAGAACATGTCTTATTCGTCATCAGTATTGGTAGGCACATCTTCATAAACCCGCAGTTGGTCCTGAAGCTTTTGGATTTTCTGGCACCATAGACAGTCCCCACAAGTCTGACCACCAGAATTCTCCTCAACCTGGAGGCTTTTTCATCCTTGGTGGACTGGGTTTAGATGGTTCAGTTGACCATGTTGACTGCACCTTGTAACTTGAATCTTAAATGGACAACCTTAACACTTTCCATTTCAGGCTCCATAAGACTTTCTTTACCTGCTCAGGCGATCCCAACATGATAGGGAACTGTGTCCTCACTTCTTGGCTGCTTCTGGATGTTTGAGTTCCTTGCGCACCAAAATCTACTGTAACGTTTGCATAGTCTTGAACATCAATGTGCCGTCCACAATGAACAGACGACAATATCATATTGTGGAACATGTTTGTTTCTTTAATATGAGAATAAACTACAGCTGTTTTCTTGGATGTCAGGTAACTTATCACCTTGCCAGATATCTTGTCACATCAAAATTATTATCAAACCATTTGATTCAGTTTTTAAATATTTAGTGACCTTAGCTGCTGAAATAAAACATAGTACATGGTCACTGTATACTTGTGTCAAATGTGAATGTTCAAGATTCAATAAAAAATTGAAGGAGCTTCATAAAATACATATGTTTGGTACCATATGAAAGGTCTTTTTCTGGTCTTTCAAACTAAAATTATTCAATTTTTAAAATCACTACCCACATGCCATAAATTACATGTGAAAATTGGACCATGTTGCGTTTTCTTGTTTTTAACAGGACCCTCACACATAACCTATTTCAAATTTTCAACATTTGGTGACTTTTTTTTTTACAGTCCTATTACATATCTTGATTCTCAAAAAAATGTAAGGGTCTCTTACTAGGTTTAAAAAGGGGTTAAAAATGGTAGATCACGGAAATTAACAAAAAAAAGTTTTTTTTGTTTTTTTTTTCATTTTTAAGATCATATAAAATGATAATGAGTTGAGATAGAACTTTACAACAAGGCAAGGGAAGTTTATTTGTATAGCACAATTCGTACACAAAGTAATTCAAAGTGCTTTACCGAATAAGAAATACATTAATACATTAAAATCACAATACAAACAATTCAAAACATAAATAATCATCATAAAAATAAAATGAGAGAGAGACATTAGATGAGAAATAATGAGAGAAGAGTGCAAAATGAAAAATGAAAACTTTTCAGTCACATGCAGTTGCTCCCTGTGTTTAGTCGTGACTCTGGGCACTAGCAGGAGGCCAGTCCCTGAGCTCCTCAGAGATGATTCATGTGGCACTAACATGTACTTTGATTTACTTTGGTGCTCGGCCATGGAGAGACTTGTACAAGCAGAGCTGCTTTAAAGTTTATTTTCTGAGCCACAGGACCCAGTGCAGAGACCTGAGCCACAGGACACATGTGCTCGTACTTCCTAGTTCGTGTCAGGACCCGAGCTGCAGCGTTCGAGGCCAGTAAGCAGACCATTACAGTAGTCTAACCTACTGGAGACAAACGCACGGATAAGTCTCTCTGTTATGGCCATTTTTGTCCTACATTGGTTCAAGGTGTTTGGGGTGGAGCCTTGGGGGTGGAGCCTGGTGGCTCATAGCCAGGTGGCCTATGTGGCCTGATTATTCTTTGTGTGGAAGCTGTAGGGGGTTGAAGCCATACAGTTTTTTTGACCGTGTGAAGCGGATATATTGTGTAATCTTCAGTTATGGTATTTGCATCTTTAATTAAATCTCATAAACAATATTCTGCAAGTTTGGACATTGAATCTTTCCATTTTCATCTTAGACACATGAGTCAAGCTAAAGAAACACAGCCCTCACAGCTGTGGTGGCAAACTGTGGCGGTAAACTGCCACTACACTCTCCAAGTTTGCTTTAGACAGTAAACCTTTGATTTTTGCTCTGTTTGCTATGTAAGAATTCATTCACCCATTCACACACAGATACTAGGGGTGAGGTGGGTTAAGTATCTTGCCCAAGGACACAACAACTGCATTCATATGTGGGAGCAAGAATCACACCTCCAACCTGTGGGTCAGTGGATCTGACTGCTCAACCAATGATGTTTTATGCGAAGAATGGGATTCCAACCGCCAACCTTTGGATTAGTGGACAAAAGCTCGACCTACTGAGCTCTTGTCAACTAACAGAAGCCTCCCTGACGCAGGGGCCTCCCTGACGCAGGGGCCTCCCTGACGCAGGGGCCTCCCTGACGCAGGAGCCTCCCTCCCAGGCTGTGTGGTCTACAGGAGCAGATGATGTTCATGCTGAAGCGCTGAAACTGCATCATTTACAGAAACTTCAGGGCGTTTGAGCTACTTATAAATATGAATGTATTTTTTTCATAAAACTTTAAAGACTACAATTTCTCCTCAACTGGAGCAGTTTGGGAAGGTCAGACCATATTATTTTAAAACTTCATAAATAAGGACCACCCTAAGTCACAAACTAGCATTAGACTACCTTTTTTCAGTGAGTCACTCTCAGCTTTTAGTTGAAAATCATACTCTTAAACAGGATCATGAACACTCCTGTGAATTACTTGTTTAATTCCGTTATGTATTTTTTCTTGGATTTTCAGACTGTCTAGCATTTGTGAAAGTGTTTGAATGTGTTCATCTTGTCATCAACATTCCACCAGATACATGTAGAACCCCCCAGCGTGATGTCACTTTAGAGTAGTACAATGTAGCACATGTTGTTCCCTGTCTGTATTCAAGTGGCTGTACATGCTCTGTTTAACAGAGGCTGATGTCTTTTTATTTGCTCTTGTTTTCCAGTGCTCTGTATTCCTCATCCAGTCAATGTCTCCATCTGGTCCTTCAACTTGGAGCACATCCTCCACTTCCTCCCAGGCCCAGGGACCCCAGCCAACGCTCTCTTTGGCGTTCAGGCGCTGAAATTCAGGTGAACCCACCCACATGCCTTATAGTCCCTCTAGCAGCAAAGTTTGTACACTATATTTTATCATTTAGAAACTGGAATGTCCCCAATGTATCAAATCAAATTGATTTGTATAGCACATTTAAAACAGCCAAAGCTTACCAAAGTGCTGAACAGTGAAATAAAACATACATTTGACAAATCAATAACAATTAGGTACGGCGGAAATGGGCGAGATGCGAGAACAAGGCTCTGTTGGAATGCTACTACTACAGTAACCCTAGGCAGAGGGGTTACATGAACAGGATGTGGGAGAAATGGTTATTATGATACCCACAGTCCAAGCTAAGCTAAGCTATTTTTTAAAAATTCCATCAGGAATTTTTTATCTTAAAAATTTGTGTTTTTTTTTCCAATAGCTTCTAAGGCAGATGACCTACCAACTCCAAACCAAGTTATTATAGTAGTCCTACTCCTCAGGTATTACGCACACATTTTGGTTTTCCAATTTAACCCTTTGTGGAATTTTTAGGAATTTTTAATCTTGAAAATCTGTGCAATGTGCTCCTATGCACATGATACCTGAGGAGTAGGACTACTATAATAACTTGGTTTGGAGTTGGTAGGTCATCTGCCTTAGAAGCTATTGAAAAAAAACACAGATTTGCAAGGGAAAAGAATTCCTTCAACTCATACATAACTAATTGTCTGTAACCAGGACAGTATATATTTTCTGAGTAATATGTAGTTTAATAAATAAAATATAAATCTATATGTTAACAAAATGAACCAATCATTTTAAACATGGTTCTACATAATTTTATGACATAAATATAATAGTAACTTGGGAGCATGCAAATGTAAAAGTAAAACACAAAAACACACTTTAGTTTTCCACAGTTCGGTATTGTCTTATTCTTACTGAAGACTTATTATTACCTACTTACTTACAATTCTAGGCCAGAAAGTAAAGATGTAACAATAAAGTAATATGGTGATATTCTATCATTAAAATCACTATCATTACTATCATTAAAAAGTCTCTTTGCTTAAAGGGCTTATATTATCCTTGCTCTCTATAATATTGTATCATCATCACAAACAGACCTGGGGGTGTTCCATGACGTGAACTAAAGTAAAAGCCTGACTTATTTGACCAATTCAGGCTTGTCAAAGCTTCACTTCCACCAAAGTGACTGACAAGAGGTGACGCTGAGTAACAAGTAGAGCCCGACCGATATATCGGTTGGCCGATATTATCGGCTGATATGGGCAACTTTAGGCATATCGGCTATCGGCCGATGCTTGCTGATAGGGGTCGATATTTCACGTGGGCATGTTATACCTCGTTATAAAACTTAGACTCTCTACATTCTGTTCATTTAATCCAATTTACAGACAGATAAATGTCCTAATATGTGGCTCCACATCAGTATTTATCTACGGACTCATTTGTGTGTGTGTGTGTCCGTACTGTCCCTGAACACACCACAGAGTCGCGTCACTCACGTGTGTTTGTTTACACCTGCAGACACAGATCCAAACACTGAGATTATATTCTTTTTACGGACAATCGGTTTGAGTCTGGATTAAAAGGACATTTATTAGTGCAGATTTGTGATGTGAGGAGGAGCCTGTATGAGCGGTGAGTGTTGGAAATATGTCGACTCTGAAGCTAGTTTTTGTCGTTATGGGTTAGCTGCTGTAGCTCCCGCACATAAACAGACTGTTTTCTATTGGTCTGTTCCAAAGTGACTATATTGGCCGTATATTTGCTACTGGACCTGCACTGATATGTAAATGAGCTGTGAATAGACGTGTGAATTATGACATTTGCGCATATAATTAATTACCGCGGCGCGCACGTATTTACGGCTAAAGGCTAATAGCGCTACTTTCTTTACTAGTTATGGGTACGGCGCGAACGAAATGACTCTTAGAACCGGCTCTTTGAAGGGAACGACGGGAGCCTGATCCTTATTGGGAGCCGTGTTTTCTCTTTGTCTCACTTTTTTTCTCTTCACGCCGCGTGCAGATTCGTGGTTTGACAGCGGCAGCGGCTAAAAACGAAACTTTGAGAAATTTGCGTGTACGTAGGATTAAAAATAAATTAAAAAAAACGAGCATATTTGACTGTAGTTTAGCATAAAATAAATAAGTCCCGGTTTAGTCCTTTTTCAGTCCTGGTTTAGACCTGGTTCAGTCCTGATTCAGTCCTGCTTTAGACGTGCTTTAGTCCTGCTTGCAACAAAACAATCTGAAGAGCCACTTGGGAGCCAAAAGAACCAGCAGCTTTTAGTGAGCCGAGCCAAAAGAGCCGGTTCTCTAAAAAGAACTGGAATACCCATCACTAGTGTCTAGAATGTGATGCAAAAATGCCATTAAGCCAACCTACTTATATCGGCGATTATATCGGCTATCGGCAGCGCCAACTCCCATTATATCGGTTTTCATATCGGCCACAGCAAAATCCATATCGGTCGGGCTCTAGTAACAAGCCCCCCGAAACAAACCTGGTCAGGACCAGACTGTCAAGATTATTTGAGCTCTGTCTCAAAGAACGTCTAAAAGACAAAAGTTTCAGCATGTGCATTTCACAGCTGTGTTAGAACACCTGTGTGTGAGAAACACAGTTTAAACACACACCTGTGTGTGAGAAACACAGTTTAAACACACGCCTGTGTGTAAGACACAGTTTAAACACACGCCTGTGTGTGAGAGACACAGTTTAAACACACGCCTGTGTGTGAGAAACACAGTTTAAACACACACCTGTGTGTGTGAGACACAGTTTAAACACACGCCTGTGTGTAAGACACAGTTTAAACACACGCCTGTGTGTAAGACACAGTTTAAACACACGCCTGTGTGTGAGAGACACAGTTTAAACACACACCTGTGTGTGTGAGACACAGTTTAAACACACGCCTGTGTGTAAGACACAGTTTAAACACACACCTGTGTGTGTGAGACACAGTTTAAACACACGCCTGTGTGTAAGACACAGTTTAAACACACGCCTGTGTGTAAGACACAGTTTAAACACACGCCTGTGTGTGTGACACAGTTTAAACACACGCCTGTGTGTGTGACACAGTTTAAACACACGCCTGTGTGTGTGAGACACAGTTTAAACACACGCCTGTGTGTGAGACACAGTTTAAACACACGCCTGTGTGTGTGAGACACAGTTTAAACACACGCCTGTGTGTGTGAGACACAGTTTAAACACACGCCTGTGTGTGTGTGACACAGTTTAAACACACGCCTGTGTGTGTGAGACACAGTTTAAACACACGCCTGTGTGTGTGAGACACAGTTTAAACACACGCCTGTGTGTGTGAGACACAGTTTAAACACACGCCTGTGTGTGTGAGACACAGTTTAAACACACGCCTGTGTGTGTGAGACACAGTTTAAACACACGCCTGTGTGTGAGAGACACAGTTTAAACACACGCCTGTGTGTGTGAGACACAGTTTAAACACACGCCTGTGTGTGTGACACACAGTTTAAACACACACCTGAGTGTGTGACAGTTTAAACACACACCTGAGTGTGTGACACACAGTTTAAACACACACCTGTGTGTGTGACACACAGTTTAAACACACACCTGAGTGTGTGACACAGTTTAAACACACACCTGAGTGTGTGACACAGTTTAAACACACACCTGTGTGTGTGACACACAGTTTAAACACACACCTGAGTGTGTGACACAGTTTAAAAAGTGACTGTTACAGTTGTGGACACGGGGCACACGTGTGTGGATGCTGCACTCATCACAAAGGCACAAACCGTCGTCCCGGTTTATTGTCCCGTGTGTACGTTTCCATATTTCGATTGCCTCTTTAATCTAGTGACGGTGTTTGTTTTCCTCTGTCTCTGTGATGTTTGCTCTGCCCCAGTCCATAATGTGGTTCTCTCTTTTACACTGGTCAAAAACGCCTGGTTTGAGTTGTTCCTGTTCTGTTTTACATTTGGTTGCTCATGTTTCGCGTTCGCTCACATTCTGTGCTATGTTCCTTTTTTCGTGGACTGAACGCCTTCCCTATTTCCTCGATGTGTTTTATTGCAGGTTGCAGGACATGCAGGGTATTTCATATATGATAATACATTTATGCTCTGGTTCTATTTTATCTTTTGGGTGGACAAGTAATTGCCTGAGTTTTCTGTGCGGTGAAAACAGTGCCAAAACCTGACAGTGCCACAACCTGTATAAAACAGCTGATCTGACACGTTACAGCAACATCACGTGATCATTCTGAGGAAGAGCCCAGGGAGCAGTCCAAACCGTCAGATATGAAAACCAATTCTTAGTCTGAAAACAGAATCTAACAACATACTGCAAGAATAGTTAGAAGAGTTATTTTGGAAGCATGTTATAACATCTAGATTTAAAACAGAACTAAGCAACTTTTTTTTTTTTTTTTTACCTTACTAGATGTATTTGTAAGTCCCTGATGGATAAACATATATAAACAAAATCCTTGGCACATGGTTAACTCCAAGCTAGAGTCTCTGGCCCTTTATATTTGGCAGTATCATACAGAATGTTTTGTATGTGATCATGCTGTCATATTCTAAAAAAAAGAAAAATCAATCGTATTTAATCTTGTAAAATTTGTTTCTGTAATTTGAGCAACCCATTTCAACTATTTTTTCCCAGTGAACCCCCCCCCCCCGCAAATGTATTTTTTTTCCTATGCACCTTTTACCTTAAAGATATACTGTGTAAAACAGGCCTTTATTTACTTGTGTTTGTAGAATTCATAGCAGAAAATTCAGTTCTGTTTTTTGATCGAAAATATTTCACAGCTCATCCAAGCTGCTTCTTCAATCATGAACTGAACAGTTTCAAAAATCCTGTGTTGTTGAGTTGAAGCTCGAGCGCTCAGAAAATGTCCATTTGCCCTTGGCCCTACATTTGGGATTCTTTGAAAGATTTAGTGTCAGGGTAAGACAGCAGCCTTAGAAGCAACAGCAAACAGGACTGGAAGAGCACCTTAAAGGTACATTCACACTGGACGCAGTATGTGCCAACTGTGCAAGCAATTCCCATGTTTACCCTATGTTGAGGTGCACTGGCACGCGACCAAAGGACTGGCCACACTACAACCTACGCAAGCATAAAAACTGCCCATTTTGGAATAGGCAACAGCAGCAGCCCGGCTCGTGGGGCGCTCCGGGCGGCCAAACTTCATCAAAGCCCTGCAAGTGCACAGAAGCCTTGTGGAAGCCTGGCAGGGTCATCTGTGGTCCCCCTGAGCCATAAGCAGTGATGCTTAAACCCACCGTCTTGATTTGCTTCTGTTAAATAAGGGAAGTCAAGACCTCAGACCAGGGAGCATCCACGACCCAACACAATCTCATGCCCAGGCCTGTTCATCCATGTTCGGCTTTGGCTCTGTACAGTATCCGCTTCTCTGTCTTTGAGGCTCCAAGAAAGGCAGATCTTAACTGAAATTAACTCCGTTTTCCATGAGAAAAACATGGGCTAATAAAGGACTTGTGCGTTTAAATCCACATTTGATTAACTGGTTTTCTTATTTTTGCATTTTTCCTTTATTAAAGAAAATAAATAAATAAATAAATAACACAGGTCTATGGATCTCTCATTGAGATTAAAGAGAAGAAAGAAATGCATATATAAAAAACAGATCGGGGTCTTGAACCCAGAGCTTCTGCACAAAAGAGAACAACTTAAGATACTGAGCTAAACCTCACAACACAGTGGAAAGACTTGGTTGAAAGTAAATTACACGATATATAAAATATATAAAGTATGTATTTATTTTTATTGGCACTGAGCAGTTCTTTATTCCCAGAAGGACAGGAGAGGCACTGCTTCACCTGCCTCCCCAACCGCTGACTTCTCCACCTAGCTGTGCCCCCTCTGCTCTCCACTTGGCAGCAAACATGGCAGTGTACTGTGTACTGTCTGGCCGCACTGACGTAGGAGGCTATGGCAAGCCAAAGTGTTCATGTTTACGCCTATTAACCTGTTAACACCTTATCTGATGCATATTATAAGCTTATTTGATGCATTAAATTGTTATTTAACCCTAACCCTATGGTCTGGCTTCAAGCAAATGCCACGAGAAGAACGATTTGAAGCTTTGTGTGTGTACGGCTTAATGCTCTTCTTCCAGCAGAACGGGCAAATGGAGAGATGTGGCCCGGTGTACCAGGATGAAGCCTGCTGAGCTCTGTGATCTGAGCAAGGTTTTTAAAGACCCCTTAGACATGTACCAGGCCAAAGTCCGGGCCTTCACCTCTGACCAGACATCTGACTGGACTGAGAGTGCCCACTTCCAGCCGCTGTCAGATAGTAAGCTTTCATCACACTGAGAATGAACATCTCTCTCCTCCGCTCCATCTGACCCTCTCCTCTGTATCCTCTGCTCTAAGTGACTGCTCTTATTTACTTCTGTCTGACTGAATGTGGTGGTCATAGGGGCTAATAGCAGAGAGCGAAGCTATGGCTACAACTGTCTCAGCAGTCTTTCTTTCTTTGCACTCAGCTCCTCTGCTTCATCTCATTCTGTCAAACATTAGGCACAAACTCTCCCTCTGATGTGCTCCATTGCAATCCTGTCCATCACTTCCCCCCCAAAATCCTTTTTCTACTCCTGTCATATCAACTCCTATTTATGGATAAAACCATATGTGAATCACATACATACCCATGGCCATGGGACATTCATGCCAGCTGAATTCTGTTGCAGCCATTTTGGGCCCTCCATTGCTGATGCTGTCAGGCTGTGGGAACTGCCTGCTGCTCCGGGTCTCCCCTCCACGTCTGAAAACGGAGCAGCCCCTGAGCCTGTTGGCAGAGCTCCGTGTGCAGGTGCAGAGGAGCAGGGATGGAGCTCGGGTAAGGCATTCAGAATAATGCACAGAAGCTTTACTAAACAGGCTGTTTGTTACTTTTTTATTTTCTTTATTTTTAGTGAAAGACTTGCTCTTAGGCAGACTAGTTCTGCTTTTAAACCAACTCTATTTAAGAGGACAGAAGGTACTAAAAGGAGCAACAACAACAATGGAGCTTAAACACAATATGATTTAATGCTTTCAAACTCTTGTCCATGTGCACTGTGGCTCCTCTCTTGTTTAGTCAGATCATTAAAAAACATCACATCTTTATTTATTTACCTTATTTACCTACAGTAACACGAGAGATGCATTGTACATCAGGTTGCAGCATCAGTGCTAATTTCCACTTGTAGTCCATTGATTGAATTGATTGTATTTAACTGACCTTGTTCTTGGAGACCTGTAGCATGTTTTGGGTTGATGGGGGAAACCAGAGCACCCAGAGGAAACTCATCCAGACACGGGGAGAAACATGCAAACTCCATACAGAAAGGCCCAGGCAACCCAGGGATCGAACCTGGACCCTTCTTGCTGTGAGTGAGCCAGGCACTCAGCCGGCCTTATAGGATAAGCCTGGACTTGTTAAGCGAGTTTGAAGGAACACCCCCCAGGGACAGCAACTATTAAAAAAAACATGTTTATTTAAGGTGCAATGGAGTTTAAGAGTTAACTGCAGCTAATAAATAACATGGAAAACAAAATGTTAAAACAGTAAACAAAAGACTTGTCCTACCTTTAAAAATCTCAATAAAATGGGGGAAATATCTGTCAGTTCTGCCAAATTTAAATAAATGTTCAATCTGTAGCAGTGTGATTCTGAAGTGCTGTATGTCTGCAAGTTTTCTCTCCGACAAAATCCACAACGTCGACGAAACGTTCTGCACTGACAAAGGCTCCTGCGCTCACACCCAAAAGACAGAGGACAATGCAAACCATTGCACAAAAAGTTGGACTTCTGGACACGTTGAAGGAAGGTAGAAGTTACGCGCTGTAGCAGAATCTTGCACCGGGTCTTGTACCCGCAAATAGTTGCTGAAATTAGGACCGCGAGCCTGAGCAGCAGGGTCCATAAAGCGCGATCGGGTGACAGCCGCTTTTACCTCCATGAGGTGCGGAGCAGAGCCGCTCCTTTGTCCTGCTGTCTGCTTCGAGCCCGTCCTGACAGTGAGTCCTGTTTTAGTCCTAGTTCAGTTCTGGTTTAGTCCTCCTCTTCAGTCCTGGAATCAGTCTGAGGTTAGTCCTGTTATAGTCCTGGTTTAGTCCTGGTTCAGCTCTGGTTTAGTCCTGGTTTAGACCTTGTTTAGTCCTGGTTCAGTCCATATACAGCTCAAAAGTTCAGCTTTTTCGCAGTTATTTTGGTGAGAGTAACTTAAAGTAATGCAATAGTAATGTAATGCCTTACATTTTAAATACAGTAATATTGTAATGTAACAAATTACTTTGAAATGACAGTAATAAGTAATAAATAACACATTACAGTTTTAAAGTAACTTGCCCAACAGTGGTTTTGAATGAAAAAACTGTGGATTTTGCACAAAATAAATTAAGTTTAAGATAACAAAAAATCTATGTTATTAGGTTCTTTTTTTCAGACCTAGAGTGTTATTTCATACCTTGACATAACACTAAACAAAAAATCTGTTTAGGATTTTGAGTGAGCTGTTTTGTGAATGTCAGTTTTAAATAGATAAAAGTGCCAAAGTGATTGAAAAAACTGTACAGTCTTCTTCCCTGACACCAGCGTGTCTGGACTGAGACTTTGTGGCTTGGCCTATTTAAGCCCGACTTCTGCAGGCACAGGAAGTTGGTGCCAGTAGTTGAAAATGTAAGATCGACCTGTGCTGTCCACCACACATGTATTTCCCTAACCAGGTGCACCTCAAAGACTTATTTTCAAAATGGGCTCTAATTTTAACAAAACAAAACAAAAAGTGTTTAGGAAAACGTGAATTCTGTTTTGGATTTTGTGTGAGCTGTTTTTCAAATGTCAATTTTCTATAGAGAAATATTTGAAATACATGCTGTAACAAAGTAACCAAAAACTGTACTGAAGTTAGTGAGCCATTATTTCAAATGATATAAAATATAAGTACTAAGTAAAAGGAAAACGTATTCTTGTAAACTACTTCTTAATTAATTAAGATGAATTAATTAAGAGATTTATCATTTGAAATTAATGCAATGGAAAGGACAAAACATGAAAGAGTGCTTGGTATTTTCAAGGGACATGAGCAGAGCATTAGAAAACTAAATCATATCTGAATGAAAAGTATAATCGAAAACTGTAATAACATAATTATGTGTATAATATATTCATAACATAAAGCTTTTGTCACTTGTAGACAGTTACAGGGAGCACAATCAAAACTGAATTAAGAGTACTGTTAAACTACTCACAAGGACTAAAGGTTTATTCCAAGAAGCTGTTTTTCAGTTCCCTGTGATGTTTTTTCCTCTTTTTCCCCCCTCTTTTTTCCTAAAAGTACTAAAAAAACCCAACAACAAACAAGGTGAACAGTGATCACATATGTTTCCTGGGAGCCTGAGAACTGTGTGAACTGATGAAAAATCTTTTAAATGGTATGTCTACTGGTGCTGCTGTTCAAATACATGTTTGAATCAAATGATTAGACTTAAATCTTAAAACGTAAAACTTGAAGTATGAAAAAATAAGCTAAATGACTGAAAAAAGTGTGCTTGAAAAAAATGTGTTTGTGCTTTTCAGTTTGACCTGCGCATGCCCTACAGGGAGGAGATCCGTGTGGAGCATCTACAGCGTGGTGTGGAGTACTGTGTCACTGTGACCCTGCACACTATGTTCAACGAAAACTCCACTCCCAGCAAACGGCTGTGTGCGGAGAGCAGCCCGCCCCTCACAGGTCAGACCCCCACAGTGCAGGCGCAGCTCCGTGTGCATCACTCGAGCTTATTCCAAAAGCCGAGGATTTTATTTGCACAATAGTTCATTCCATCTATCCTTCATCAAATCCACTGACAGGTGACTGACAGGTTTTTAGCCAACCAGGGTCTGTCCATATTAAAACAAATATTGTTGCTTAAGAGGAAAAAGGATTAAAAAAAAACATCACAGGGAACTGAAAAACAGCTTCTTGGAGTAAACCTTTAGTCCTTGTGAGTAGTTTAACAGTACTCTTAAGTCAGTTTTGATTGTGCTCCCTGTAACTGTCTACAAGTGACAAAAGCTTTATGTTATTAATATATTATACATATAATTCTTATTACAGTATTCAATTATACTTTTCATTCAGATATGATTTGTTTCAGATAAGCACTGTTTCATGTTTTGTCCGTTCCATTGCATTCATTTCAAATTGTAAAACTTATATAATGTCCACTCTTACAATTACTCTTAATTAAATAAGAAGTAGTTTCCAAGAATATGTTTTCCTTTTACCTAGTGCTTATACTTTACATTAGTTTGATATAATGGCTCTCTAACTTGAGTGCAGTTTTTGGTGCAATATTGTCTACACAGAAAAGCAGTTACATAGTCCTCTTGTCACATAGTTTTATTGATGAACCTAAAAGTAAAAGGTTGACCACTCCGACATGCAGACTGCCATTCTGTACCCAACACTTCACCCACCTTGCAGATGTATGAATGTGGTGTGTGACTGATTGGTGATAGGCTGTTGGTGTAGTTTGGTTGGTTGCGTCCCCGGGACTTATCTTCTTTTACATAATTTTTATTTTGAAAACATAAGAATGGCAAAATAAAATGGCATAACATAAAAACAGTTTAGAGTAAAAAGTAAAATCCTAAAGGTAAGATAAAAAAGTACTTTAGGCATTTTCAGGCCGACAGAGAACCATGCCGGTGCCAGTTCCCGCACCTAATCTTGAACTGACTCATGTTCACACTGGAAATCAGAGCATTTGGGGACCAAAAATTTGATTCCCAACAGGAACCAAATAAAACTTGTTTTTTCTAAGAGAACCGTGGCGACACAGAAGACGTCAGCACGTTCATCTGGGTCACACGTGATAAAATAAACAAAAAAGAGCAATTGAAACTATCCTGTATGACTCTACAAATACTATTACTTATCGTCTTGCATGTATCCGTGTTTGCCTGATAAGATTACATCTTTGGATTGTGCGTTGCTGCCGCCTTCTCCACAGCACATGGATGTTGTAGCAGAGCTTGGCGCACATAAATAATGACTTGTGTAAGTACAAACATTTGCTGTTGTTGATGATGCGATCCATGATTGTTATTTTCCTCTCTGTGACATCCGTTTTCGTATGGCCTTTTTTTATTTGGTGGTAAATCCACACCCTCTGTCGATGATGCGTCATGGGTTCACGGAAATGGTATGAACGCGGGTCGTTCACAGGTGAACACTTTGGTTCTCAGTGGAACTGGTGCGGGAACCGGCACCATCCTGACCGGCCTGAAAACAGCTTTTGAGAAAGCATCAGATCTCAATAAAAAATAAAAATTTAAAATGCTGGATATCTATACAAATATAGACAGAGCAATGTCTTAGGCACAAAAGGTCTTTACATGGAAATAACATTTTCAGCCACAGAAGGCTTAATTTTATAGACACCCTGAACTAGGGTGACCAAACGTCCGTTTTTCCCCAGACATGTCAGTTTTTTGTGTCCTGTCCTGGGCGTCCAGGTTTTCTTTCATAAAGTGATTGAAATGTCTGTGTTTTCATTACCTTTCATTGGGCCATTAAATTGAGCGGCTCTCGTAGCTCTGTGACTCAGAAGGAGTGAGCAGACACAAACAGTCGGTCAGTCTGCCAACGTGCCGAAGCGTAAATGCGCATTTAACGATGACTTGGACAAGAAATTCCCCGTTTTTTGTCCCGGGCGGGACAAGTGGGAGCCATGTGCACAGTTTGTGAGGTGAGTGTAGCTCAATGTTGAGGCACCACCCCCCGGTAAGGTGACCAGATTTTCACAAACGGAAATATGGTCACCCTACTATGAACACCAAAGTAAAATAATGATGAGGCAGGCTAATCCATTTTGCTATAATTTAATTTCTGCAATTCAAAATGCTCAATATTTTATGTATCCCCCCACATGCTTGTCTGCATGTTTGACAACATCGTGGCTTGCTCCTAAAGAGATGACGGATAATGTCTTGGGGGATGTCCTCCCAGATCTGTGTAAGGGCATCACTGAGCTCCTGTAGAGTCTGAGGAGCAACCTGATGACGTCTGAAGGACCCAGACATAATCTCCCAGAGATGTTCTATCGGATTTAAGTCAGGTGATCTTGAGGGCCGTTTGGTTGTATCAATCCCTTCATCCTCCAGGTTCTGTCTGCAGACTCTTGCCACATGAGGCCGGGCATTGTTGTACATCAAGAGGAACCCTGCATCTACTGCACCAGTGTAGAGTCTGACTATGGGTTCAAGGATTCCATCCCTATATCTAATGGCAGTCAGACTGCCGTTTGCAAGCCAGTCTGTGTGTCCCTCCATGGATCTGCCTCCCCAGACTATCACTGACCCACCACCAAACCGCTCATGCTGAACCATGGTGCAGGCAGCAGAGTGTTCTCCTTGTCTTCTCCAGACTCTTTCACATCTATCGCAGGAGCTCAGGGTGAACCTGCTCTCATCTGTGAAAAGCACAGGGCATGAGTGGTGACACCAGGAGAAGTTGGGCAGTCTGTGCATCTTCTGTAGGGTTAAGGAATGGCCTCATACTCCCAGTAGAGATAATCACTGTAGCCAAAGCAGCAGCCAAAAAAATTTACTTTTCAAATATGTCTTATTGGTAAAATTCCCTTTAATGTGAAGGTCTTACTTTTGAGATTTGTGTCTACGGAGGTCACACCTGTTGGAACCATGTGTCACAATAACTCCCACAAGAGAAAGAAATGAATATTAAAAGTTTGCACGCTTTCTCAGGGCTAATCAGCTATGTGCTAACCAGTGTTGTGCATGAACGAGTTCAAAAGAACGCGTTCATTGAACACGTTCATTTTTCAGTGAACTTTGAACTGAACGCAACACTTTTGTAAATCAAGAACTTGAACGTGAATTTGTTCAAATTATGTGTGATGAACGACGTACGTCACTGTTGGGGTTCAGTTAAACGTCGGAATTTGTTTTCACCTGACGAGTGACGATCTGCTCGCACTTCACCCCGCGAAACCACAGCCGCGTGTCAACGTGAAGGCGACTCCACCGGCAGCTTTAGCGGAACGTACGGGCTCTTGTGTCTCTCAATGGGAAGTCAATCAAACTTGACTGGGCGCGTTTAGCTGCTTGTATTTACCTTTTGTACAGGCTGACCACGGCAAACGCAAGGATTTCAAAAGTAAATTTCAAAGCACTAATTAACAGTCTATGTGGATCTGGGCTCTTTCACATGATACACAACTGCCCAGGGAGCACAATGTGCTGATGGTAAATGCGCAAATACAACAATAGATACATGCTCTCTGTGTATTTTGACGGGGATACGCACCTACGCTCGTGTAGAGCGTCAAAAAACAGAATGGATCCTATTTTCTGAAATCTACACGCACAGGACGTGCTGCTCCGCGCGCGTATTATGTTACTTGGTACATATGTCAGTAACGCGCGTCACAATGCTTTTTTAACCTGGATTGAAATGGTGGGTTTTTCGTTTTTCTTCATACAAATTTGCTAAAATCACCGCGATATCAGCAGCGGTGAAACGCCGGAGGTGCGCCCGCGTAGACCGTGATCCTGAGCGAAAGGACCGACGCAGAAGTCCGCGCTCCACCGAACTAAACGCAGCTGACGCCCGATCGCACTCGGGGTTCTCTCAGGGGCGGTCCTAGATTCCAAGTTCTAGTCCAGGATTAGTCCTGGTTTGGTCCTGGTTTAGTCTTGGTTTAGTCCTGGTTTAGTCCTGGTTCAGTTCTGGTTTAGACCTGGTTCAGTCCTGGTTCAATCCTGGTTTAGACCTGGTTCAATTCTGGTTCAGTCCTGGTTTAGTCAGCGTATTGAAGTTGGCTCAACGTTTGACGTTCGCTTGATATTCGTTAGGGACCGTCAACAAATAGTCACCACAGTATTGGAGGGAGTCACTTTACATTATTGGAGCAAGGTTACACATTAAATACATGAAAAAATTCACCAAAAATCAACCAAAACACTTTTTCTAAATCTGTGGGGCGTAGTAGATCCCAAATAAATGTGTTTATTTACTACAGGTCACAATTGGCCCCTAGGTCACATTACTGTGAAGAGAGACACAAAAAATACTTGAAAAAAATCACCAAAACTCAACCAAAACACTTTTTCCAAATCTGTGGGGCGTAGTAGTTCCCAAATAAATGTGTTTATTTACTACAGGTCACAATTGGACCCTAGGTCACATAACTGTGAAGAGAGACACAAAAAATACTTGAAAAAATTCACCAAAAATCAACCAAAACACTTTTTCCAAATCTGTGGGGCGTAGTAGATCCCAAATAAATGTGTCTACTTATTACAGGTCACAACTGGACCCTAGGTCACATTACTGTGAAGAGAGACACAATAATTACATGAAAAAATTCACCAAAAATCAACCAAAACACTTTTTCCAAATCTGTGGGGCGTAGTAGTTCCCAAATACATGTGTTTATTTACTACAGGTCACAATTGGACCCTATGTTGCATTACTGTAATAATGTGTGTAATTATTGTGTCCCGCTTCACAGTAATGTGACCTAGGGGCCAATTGTGACCTGTAGTAAATAGACACATTTATTTGGGATCTACTACGCCCCACAGATTTGGAAAAAGTGTTTTGGTTGATTTTTGGTGAATTTTTTCAAGTATTTTTTGTGTCCCTCTTCACAGTAATGTGACCTAGGGGCCAATTGTGACCTGTAGTAAATAAACACATTTATCTGGGATCTACTACGCCCCACAGATTTGGAAAAAGTGTTTTGGTTGATTTTTGGTGAATTTTTTCATGTAATTATTGTGTCTCTCTTCACAGTAGTGCAACATAGGGTCCATTTCTGACCTGTAGTAAGTAGACACATTTATTTGAGAACTACTACGCCCCACAGATTTGGAAAAAGTGTTTTGCTTCATTTTTGGTGAATTTTTTCAAGTATTTTTTGTGTCCCTCTTCACAGTAATGTGACCTAGGGGCCAATTGTGACCTGTAGTAAATAGACACATTTATTTGGGATCTACTACACCCCACAGATTTAGAAAAAGTGTTTTTGTTGATTTTTGGTGAATTTTTTGTTCAAGTAGTTATTGTGTACACCGGCTCCACTAATGTCAAAGTGACTCCCTCCAACAATGTGGTGACGATTTGTTGACGGTCCCTAACATAGACGGTAACCACAGAACGAAGGTTGGAGCAGCTTGAGTAGATTTTTTTGCCTATAATCGATAGGTACTATTTATGCTGTTGTTTTGTTATATAAGACATTATCAGGTTGCACTTTGTTTAACCTAGTTCAAGTTATTTAGGCAAAATGCATGTTTGGGTCTTACTGTGGGAAAGTTAAACCCCGAATATCAAACGAACGTCAAACGTTGAGCCAACTTCATTACGCTGGTTTAGTCTTGGTTTATTCCTGGTTTAGACCTGGTTCAGTCCTGGTTCAGTCCTGGTTTAGACCTGGTTCAATTCTGGTTCAGTCCTGGTTTAGTCTTGGTTTATTCCTGGTTTAGACCTGGTTCAGTCCTGGTTCAGTTCTGGTTTAGTCCTGGTTTAGTCCTGGTTTAGACCTGGTTTAGACCTGGTTTAGTCCTGGTTTAGACCTGGTTCAGTTCTGGTTTAGTCCTGGTTTAGACCTGGTTCAGTTCTGGTTTAGTCCTGGTTTAGACCTGGTTTAGTCCTGGTTTGGACCTGGTTCAGTTCTGGTTTAGTCCTGGTTTAGACCTGGTTCAGTCCTAGTTCAGTCTGTACCCGGTGCAAAAGTTCGGTATCGCAGTCACGGAAGTTACGTAAACGGGAAACGGCCGTTATCCGTTTTTTCCATTCTTCATTTAAACCAAAATCGAAAACTGAAAGAACGAATCGTTATCCGTTTTTTCATTTTGGTTTTGGAGACAAATAACGAAGAAAACTGTTGTTTTTTCGTTTTCTTATTTTTGGTTTTATATTGAAAAACGAATGATACACGGATTGTTTTAAGTATTAGAATTGTTGCATTATTTGGAAAGTGTGTATCCCTGTGCTTACAGCCCTCCTCCTCACATTGGTTTTGCAGCTCCTGTAGCTCCAGTGAGCATTGTGGCTGTACTGTTGTCTGTGCTGCTCGTCTCTTCTCTGGGATTGGCTGCTCATCGGTTTTTCTCCAGACTCTAGGGCACTTTGGCACCGCCGCTCACCTGAACTCTCAACAGGCTTCATCTCCTCGGACTCTTCATTTTACAAGTGTAATGTGGAAAGTACTACATTAAGGAGGAGGTATTTTACTTATGTGCTAATATATTTAACATAATGTATTTAGATCATATTTTATTGTTTTACAATGCTACATTTGTATATTTTGCAAGGATTTTGCAAGTTTCATTTTAGTTTTTGATGCTCCCTGGCATAGCATTAAGTCACTCCCCTTTCCGAGGACTATCACATAAAATCAGTACACATCCCCCTGCATCTGCAGGTGTGTACAGTTTTGTATCATGTTATTGTATATTTATAGAGATTTGTCATGTGGGAGCATGAATGACATGGACTTGTGGGTGTAGCATTGCACAGAATCTTACAGCATTGTCTGGGGAAATATGTCTTTGTTTTTTGTTTTTTTAAGAAAAAATGTTTTTAGCCAGAACCTGTTATTTTGCATTTCTATACAGCTTTGTTTAATAAAATAATCATAAGCCAAAACTATAGCCCTTCTTTGTCACTCTTCCTTTTTCATAACTTTACATTAATCATTATTATCATTTTTTTATTGTTATTTACAAATGTTATGACAAAGACATTTTTGTTTCATATAGTACTTACAAAGATATTAACCACAAACCAGGTCAAAATGTGTGACAGCTAAAATAATCCACCACAGAATACTGTCTTGTCCTCCACTTCAATTTTAAACTTAATGCTTTCTAAGATATTGTTGGGATGTGATGCAATTGTGATGAAAGCAAAGTAGGATAATGCTTCTGAATCTAATGACACGACTATTGTTTTGGATACAGAATATGCTTCTTTAATACTTGAAGCTGGAGATGTGCTTCAAGATGAAGTTACATCTGCAGCAAAAACTATTTTGATTTTCTCTTAAAGTATACTGGGGTGCTATGAAATGAAAGTGAAACTTTTCGTTAGGTTTGAGAGTCATTTTATGCTTTGAATCAGTGGGATACATCCAAGCATCCAAGTGTGAGAGTGCTGGACACTGGGGAACGGGTAGTAGCTGGCAGGACCTGATTCAAGCTCTTGCTGTTTTGTTGCATGACACATGCATATCACACTTTTAATTCCATCTGTAATCCTCCAAATAATTGATATAGGTTCTGAATAAAGTTAAACTGTCAGGCTTGTGGCTAATTTAAATGATTTTATTATAGTTCTATGTTGTAACCCCACAAGCTCATCTGTGAGCCCTGTTTCAAGAGTCCTCACAGCGTGCCCATAGAACTAGAATCAAATCTGCAGCTGAACCCAAGATGGCGCCATTTTTTATTTATTTATTTATTTTTAATAAAAGACAATAGAATTTAACATTTTACATAAAAAACAAACAAAAAAACTAAAGCAAACATAAAACAACAAAACTCCCCATTCCTTACCCCAGCACACACACACACACACCACGCACGCACACACCACGCACAGACACACGCACGCGCACCACACGCACACACACACGCACGCGCACACCACGCACACACACACGCACACCCACACACCACACACACGCACACGCACGCGCACACCACGCACACACACACACACACACCACGCACACCCACACACCACACACACGCACGCGCACCACGCACGCACACACACACACACATACACACGCGCGCGCACACCACGCACACACACACACACACACCACGCACACACACACACATGCACACACCACGCACACACACACACATGCACACACCACACACACACACCACACACACATCCACACACGCACACCGCACGCACACACACACACACACAAAGGTGATAAACGTTATGAGGAGCCTGTCAGGGAGTGACTGGTGTGCAGGGATGTTCACTTTCCAACCGGATCTATAGAGCCAAAGTCAAACCTGTTCTTCACTACAGGTCTGTAGTTTTTGGGTCCACTTCTCAATCTGTGTTAAAGACTGGATGGTGTTCAGTCAAAAGCACTTCTGTAATGCCTTTAGGTCAACCTCCATCCCAGCTTTACAGGTTGAAATGGGTGAATGTCCTCTGAGGCTTAGACAGGACAAGTTATTAATGGGCTAGGGTGGCAAGATAACATAGCAATTTAGCATCTAGGTCTCTATTCAATCACTGAGAGTTTGAAAAGAGCCTGGAGAAAGCCTATTTTTTGCTCACAGTGCAAATGTGGAAGTGCAAATTTGGGGCTGCAGAAAAATGTGATGGTGGGTCTGGTGTGACCTCCTCCTGCCTTTGTGGAACCTACCTGAGCCACTTGTGTCTGCTTTAAGACATTTTTGAGCTATCAGAGTAAAGCTGTTCATATTTTTACTGACGGGTCTAAGGTGGTTTTGGAATGTCTGTCACTGAGCCGTTGGTTAAGCAAAGTGTCAAATGATCTTTCAGCTATATTGTGGATGTTGCGGTGGATTTGAGAACTTCTCCTGTATATTATCTATTGTGTTCTGATTCTGCTGCTGCATTGTCTGCTTATCAACATAGGACATCTAAGACCCATCCTGATTTAATCTTTGTGATTCTGTGCTGTCTTAATCAAACTGATAATATGGGGTCAAGTGTTTTGTTTGATTGATTGCATTTATATAGCGCCTTTCAAGATACCCAAAGCACTTTACCATTCAATCACTCCACACTCAGTGGTGGTAAACTACTACTGTAGCCATAGCTGCCCTGGGGCAGACTGACAGAAGTGACACCACCATCACTCATGCTCACACCACTTTCATACTAGGCAAAGTGGGTGAAGTGTCTTGCCTAAGGACACAATGACAGTTTTTTTGTCCCTGGCGCCTCACTGTGGCACCTGGAATTCCTAGTGGTCTCCCATCCAAGTACTACCCAGGTCCAGCCTGCTTAGCTTCTGAGATCTGACGGGATCAGGCTTTTTACAAGCCGGTATGGCCACATGTTTGTCTGGATCCTGGAACATGCTGGGATTTTGGGGAATGAAGAATCTGATGTCCTGGCTAAAACTCACTTCAGAAAGAGTGTATAAATCTGGTTCAGTCATTGGCAAAGCAGGAATGCTATAGTGTCTGTAAACAGCATCATACTAATATATGGCATGAAGAATGGGAGGGGAAATGTCAGAGAAGGCACTATTTCTCCTGTCAGCTGTCGGTTCAAAACAATAGGAATTGTGGGTCCAGCTGCTGAAGAGATTTAGAATTTTCTCCACCTGTCATTTTCTATTTCTCGTTTGTGATTTTCTCCACCATTTACTGACTTCTTTAAGGTTCGGTCCACTCAAACAGTGAGATACAGCAACAACCCTGCCTTATGTAACAGATAACCCTATGTCCTGTCAATTATCATATCATTTTTGCACTATTTTCCTTATGACCTTGTGTATATAACTGTCATACACTGTATTTATTAGGGTGGTCCATCAAAACATGGTAAAAAATAAAGTTTCAGATAACCTCGATTAGAACCTGCATTAGGTTTTAGCATCCAAAAGATCATTTAGGGAGGGAGGGAGATGTCAAGCTGCATGAGGTTTCCTGGAAATTGACTCATTTTGCATTTTCAGCAATGTTACTTTGAAAAAGTTATTAGTTATAATTACTAGTTACTCCTCCCAAAAAGTTACTCTGAGTTACTCCACTATGAAAATAACTAATTAGCATGGAAAAGTAACTCTTGTGTTACTTTCTTTTTTTTAAGGGTGCACTCACACTAGGACTTTAGAACTGTCCCGTGCTCAAACATGATTGCCGAGAGTTCTATGGCCACACTCACACCTGCACAACCGAACTGGGCCATGACCTGATGGTGTCATAACACAGCAAATTAGTGATTTTGTCTCCACCAGCACAAAGCGTTTTTTCAAAGCTCTTGATCTTCCAAAAACATTTTGAACAGTTTCCTGCAGCAGACTGGGCTGATGATGCAGACTTACAGAAGCTGCTAAAACTGTGCATTCCAGGAAAGTGTCCATGATGTTGCTGAAAGGAGGTGAAGCTTATTCAAGATTTGAACTGCAGAACAAAGAATGAAGATCAGAAACAGGATCTACTGTAGTCAAAGACACATGAGCATCTTTAGTGACAAAGCCAACAAAGCCACAGTGGAGCTGGACTTTATGTCACTTTTTTATGGACTTTCTAAGCAATATTTATGGACTTTCATTTTTATGCAAGTTTCAGTTTGTGTTTGCAGAATAAAATGACAAATTATTTGAATAGGCCTTATTACTTTGGTTCTGTTACAGTTTAGGTCCTACAGGGCAATTGTCAAGTGTCTTCAGCTCCTCTAAATATGAATTAATTTGCATAAAATTTAGACTCAAATATTTTGGTCAGATATGGAACCAAATGCAGGGTTCTAATCTAGAGAATCTATAAAAAATAAAAATTGACTGGTATTGATATCGGTATGTTTCTGTTTTTTATACTTTTCTTGTACATATACATTTATTTTGCCTGACAATGCCATTAGGATGTAATATACAAGGAACTGGAGGGACGGCACTGTCAGGCAAACATTTATTATGTCCTATTTGACACCAGTCTCTTGCTATTTTTATTGCTACTAATTTAGAATTTATTTTTATAATTTTTATATTTTTCACTCTTTGTTTTTGGAATATAATGTGACGTGTTCAAGTAATTTTCCTTGTGGATCAGTTGGTGTGACAACACATTGGCTGTTCTTGTCATAAACAGGTATCAGGTTCTTATATTTTGAGTGTGTATGTAAATATATTTTATGTGCTTCACGTGTTTTTTTTTTTATTTTTATTTATTTTTTTATTAATAAGTAACAGATACACAGATATACACAAGACACAAGTTGGGCAATAACAAAAAACTGATAACCTCTAATGCCATTGACAGAGTGAAGTAGAGAATAATAAAAAATAAATATAATAATTTGACCTCGACTGGGGATGTAGTCGGACGGTGGAAAGAATACTTTGAGGATCTCCTCAATCCCACCGTCACGTCTTCCGAGGAGGAAGCAGAGACTGGGGACCCAGAGGCGGACTCGTCCATCACCCTGGCTGAAGTCACTGAGGTGGTTGGAAAGCTCCTTGGTGGCAAGGCTCCGGGGGTGGATGAGATCCGTCCTAAGTATCTTAAGTCTCTGGATGTTGTGGGGCTGTCTTGGCTGACACGCCTCTTCAACATTGCGTGGTGGTCGGGGACAGTACCTCTGCACTGGCAAACCGGGCTGGTGGTCCCTCTGTATAAGAAGGGGGACCGGAGGGTGTGTTCCAATTACAGGGGAATCACACTCCTCAGCCTTCCCGGTAAGGTCTATTCCAGGGTACTGGAGAGAAGAATCAGCCCGATAGTCGAACCTCGGATTCAGGAGGAGCAGTGTGGTTTTCGTCCTGGCCGTGGAACACTGGACCAGCTCTACACTCTCCATAGGGTGCTCGAGGGTTCATGGGAGTTTGCCCAACCAGGCCACATGTGCTTTGTGGACTTGGAGAAGGCATTCGACCGTGTCCCTCGTGGTGTCCTGTGGGGGGTGCTCTGGGAGTATGGGGT